CACACACTTTTGAAAGAATAAATTATAGCCAAAGCCAGTGCATGCAGTTTGACAAGAGAAGATGCCTAATACCAGCTTTGAGCCCACTGATGCTAATTACATAAAATTATACTTCATATTAAACCTCATTGTTGCAAATAGCTCAACCACCAAGGAGGAGTAATTAAATTAAATCCAGTTGCTTAAGCATTTAACTGAATTGCAGAAACCAGGTTAGTATGGCAGCAGATTAGTTCACATCAAAAGCAGGTTATACTGGAGGTGATGAATTTTTATTTTTTTTAAGCAGCACAACATGGGTGAGGGTTAGGGTTTTACAGTTGTCAGTGCCTACCAATGTCACTCAGGCTCAGTTATCCACCTAGACCTTTCAGTACAACACACAGTTGTATCTTTCTAGATTGCCTGTTCAGTTTGGGAATTGGAAATACTGAACTGTAGCAATTCCATTCCTATCTGATGAGAAGATTCCCAGAAAAAAATTACCACAAAACTGGAAAGGCGCTACAGACATAAAAGTGAGACCATCTCTGTGTTTAAGAGAGAGTAAGACAAAAGGTTTGACTCTGTCCCTCAGCACTGTGTAACTTCGCTTCTTATCCTCCTCTCATCTCTCTGGTACAGCCTAATTACTATTTCATTGCTTTCTCTAGAAAAGCACCCTTTTGGAAGAAGCTCTGCTCTTATCTCCGCTGCTCTTCCCAGAGTATTCTACAAGGCCACTGTGCTACCTTGATGAAACAATGTGAAGCTTGGTGTGCTTCTGCTTATTTTGAAAAGATGCTAGTTTCTGGGAGAGTTTTATGGGACAGCCCAGAACAGAGCTAAAGTTGCATAGGAAAACTGTTTCCCTAGGCATTTGAGTTCAGTTCAAGTCTTGTTTTGCTCCAGAAAGGTTTATCCCCTGGACACCAAAAAGTTGTTTGCAGACATGGATAGAGAGGTTTGCAGCTCAAGCAAGCAAGATAACAACTCCATTAGAGCAGGGTGATGTTTTGATACATCGTCCAAAATTGGTTTGAAGTCCACATCATGATAGCGGTTTCATAATATCCAACATTGTAATATACTATGAATCACAATGTGTGTGCGCGCATGTAAAAAATCACGATGTGGGGAAAACTGTGAAGCCAGTCATCGCTTCTCTCATGATTCCTGCTGCCCCCGTTATTCTGTACTTTAAAATAACAGTGGTAACAATACAGTGGTACCTCTGGTTACGAACTTAATTTGTTCTGGAGGTCCGTTCTTAACCTGAAACTGTTCTTAACCTGAGGTACCACTTTAGCTAATGGGGCCTCCTGCTGCCGCCATGCGATTTCTGTTCTCAGCCTGAGGTAAAGTTCTTAACCCAAGGTACTACTTCTGGGTTAGTGGAGTCTGTAACCTGACGTGTTTGTAACCCGAGGTGTTTGTAACCCAAGGTACCACTGTATGTTAAAGTTAAGTAAAAAAGTGTCAGATTTAGACTCCCTAAGTAGTAGCAGTTGCCAAGTAGTAGTAGTTTCCCTTTACAAAGTTCCATCTTTATTTCAGGCATTGTGATATATTGGAATTTTGCAATGTTTAGCTGGTGTTATATCATGATGTTAAAAGCCAGACATTACTCAGCCCTAAACTCCATACAGTGGATCATTGATCTATGGAATTTCCTGCCACCAAATGTGATAACCACTGGCTTAAAACAGGAGTTAAACAAAATCACTCTGGAAGAATGGCAGATGAAGGTGATGGACTATATGGAACTGGCGGAAATGACTGGCAGAATCCGAGACCAGGGAGAAGAGTCGGTGGAAGAAGATTGGAAGAAATTTAAAAACTATTTACAGAAACACTGCAAAATTAATGAATGTTAGAATGATGTTGGATTGAAGTTAAGTGGCTTTTAGTAGCAATGTTAGAAAGGAATATGTAAAAATGGATTGTTAATAGGTGATAATTTAAAGCTATAATATATTAAGATAGAAGATTAAGATAAAACCAAAGAGGGAAAGGAATTGCTGAATTAACTAATTGAACTGGAATACAAAAAAGGGAGGTGTGAGGAGGTCAGGGAAACAAGCAAATGAAAGATAAGATATGGAAAGACTGATTTGTTTTTAACTGTTTTTACTTTGTATTTTCATTTCTTTTTTCCTTTTTTTACTTTTTTCTCTTATTTTTGTAATATCTTGAAACTTTAATAAATATTATAAAAATTAAAAAAAAATCACAGAGGAAAGGGCTTTCAGTGGCTACTAGTGAGTCTGTTAATAGTATGTTATGACCCTTAGACTATGTTCTTACCCCTAGATTAGAAGCAGCATGCCCCTGAATACTAATTGTTGGGCATCCTGTTAGTGGGCTTCCCAAGTAGCATCTGGTTGGCCAACGTAGGAAACATGATTGCTGGACTAAATTATTCAGCAAGGCTCTGTGATGCTGCATACAGATTTTCATACTCCTCTCTTTTAGGCAATAATTTTAGTAACAATTTTTAGAGGAGCAACCACCCTAGTCTTTTGCAGCAAAAACAGTCCTGTGTCACCATAAAAAAACAAGACACTTGTTTGTTTAGGCACACTTTTGGGAAGCCAAAAGATTTTTGCCTTTCTCTCTCCCCACCCCTCTTTAGATTGCAATGTATTTTTTTTCATAGTGGGTTTTCTTTTATATTGCATGCTTATAATTGCTAGATTAGCTGCCAGATTATTATGGAAAAGGCAGTATATAGGTATTTTAAATAAACAATTCCAACATCTCCTTCCTGGTGCAACTCCAGCATGCTGTTCAAAACCAGTCTTACAACTAAAGCCACAGCATTTCACGTCTGAAATGCTACATGAGAAAAAAGCAGCACAACATTGCAATTTTACTGCATTCTGCCTCTTCGGTTGTCATGATGTCATCTTGCATCTGCTTCGATGGCAGGCTATCATTGGAAGCCTTTGAACCCTCTACACCTCAGTCATATAACATCAGTTGTTTTACAACGAACTGCAGAGGGGAATACAAGGAGATGTCAAAAACAGCACGTGGAGACTCGCAGAGAAATCATGGGGTGGGGGCAGGGATGTTTGGTTTTTGCCAACTTCAAGCAACAGAAACCTGAAAGTAGGAGGAAATCAGACATACACAGGATAAAAAGTCCAGAGGCTTGTTAAAAACATATTGGTTAAGCTTATTGTTGGGTCATATTCAATGGTCCAAGTCTTTTGATAAGGGACTTTCTAGTTACATTAGAACCACTTACATGTTGTTGTCAGACAATGAAATACAAAATTTCAAAAAAGTTCAAACAAGCCGGAAGGCAAGAGCCAACCCATGATTTCTTCCTTCAACCTTCCCTAATACTTTTTCCTAGATTTATAGTGACAACTATTGCATGTTTCCAGGATCTTGCATGAAACTTCACTGCACAAGTTTAGCCAACACAAGTGATTATGAAGAATCCAAGTTTTAAACCCCCCTTTCCCCATGAAGTCTTTGGCACAACTCTCTTGTTCAAACACCTTCTGTTCCTAAGTCTATGTGCTGTAATTGAAACACTCTTACCATTTATTATTTCATCTATTTCCCTCCCCTTCCCATTTCCTATGCTGAATTTTAGATTTTAACCTGCTTGGAGCATGGACCTGCCCTTTTGTAAAGTACCGTGGAGACTGATGGGACAGAAACAGCTATTAAGTAGGATTATGGCTACACAGAATGATCAAAATCCAGACAAAATTACTTTCAATTTATTATACTCAGTGTTGACATTAGTCAAAGACTGGCTATTTCATTCTTTTAAGAGCAGAGAGCCTTTTTAAAAATCTCACCATTATTCCGAGCAAGCAACCTTTTTGTTTTCCTTATTATGAAATTATGTGCTTGTCTCCCCCTACTGGAATGAGGCGCTGCAATAAAAGCTTTCAGCAGAGATGTTTGAGCTGCGCTTTTTTCTTTTCAAGTACTTGATTGATGTTGTGGCTAATGAGAGAATTTTTAGAGAATATCGTGTTTTGTTTTGAAGTTTCCTTACCTGCTATCAGCCAGAAGTTGGAACAGTAACATGTTACTCAAAAAATACTTTGAATCCAAGATGGGCATGAATTAAGTGAGTAGGCATTGAGCTGTTGTGAAATGTTTAAGAGTTGGAGATGCAGGAGGAAACAGCAAAGAGGAGAAATGCAGACGAGAAACCAGGGTAGGATAGCAGCTATGTGCTCTGGGATGGGTTAAAACATTTTTTCTTTAAGTTGTAAAGCTTCACCGACAGCAGGAAACATCAACATGATGCCAGCCAGATGCCAGCCAGCATCACCAATTCTCATGGCTTGTAGTCCCACAATATTAAAGAGAACCATGTTGACTACCCTTTAAGGGCACTCTTGAAGAGTCCACACCTATGCAAGGTTAAGTGTAAATATAACAAACAGGTGTTTTAAGCACACTGGTAGCATGCAGGTGTACTTATGACAGAGCTAGGGTTGGCCGTAGCTCACTGTAAAGGCTACACTCTGTCCTTAGAGAAGCAAGTCGAACAAAAATACTTAAGACACAAGAGTTGAACAAGCCTGCTAGGTTACTGCATCCTATCCCATAACAAAAACATTGTCAGTAAGAATAAGGCCTGGGCACAGCATGACACAAGGGGCCCCTGGGAAAACTAATTTCCCAATGTTCTGGAAGCATAAACAGAAAGAAAAGCAGGGAAATGAAAGAGATCTTCCAAAACATATGAAAGGCACCACGTTGGGGAATACTGTTCTAACCTATAGTTTAAGTCAAGGCTTGTTTAATTCTGAAGCCAATGATGGTTTTTTCTGCCCCAAGCCATTTTGTATCACACATTTTTTGTTGTGCTCCGACACTTAATGGTCTGACACTTTAGGTGTGGTGTGCAGCTGGAACAGAAAACTGAGCCCAAATCTTGAACACACGTTTCTATCTTGTGCACACACATACTTATGGACTGCATCCATTCACTACAATTTAAATTGGAAAACATCTTAGCACAAGGTTTTTGCTTTTTTTTTAATGAAACCATTTTCGCATTTAGGACATTTTTCAAATTTTATTTGCAACTATTGCAATTACAAAGAAATATTATCAATGTAAGTTTGCATTTAAAGTGACAATCCTCTATTTCATAAACAAGGTCACAAATTAGTGAGCAGCTCATTTGGCTTTTGGGCAGCTTCCATTATATGGAAATGTTCCTGTTATGACAAACTCATTTGTCACAAATGTTTTACAGTATTTCAGTCTTGCAGTTCCTCAACATATAGCTATAAAAATCTTACTACATGATTGACATTCAGATGTATTTCTATAGCTTCTAACCACATCAATAGTTATTACCTTTACATGTGGGCAGAAAATGAAATTCGTAGTAAGTTTTTGCTTATCCTTCACAGAACGCTCCAGAAATACACTTAAAAATCGAAAACAATTATTTATGTTGAGAATGAAGCCTGGTTCTCCATGCTAGCACCCCTGTTCGGCCCTCAGTAGAGAGGAAAAATGCACTGCTGTAATGCCGTTTTATCAAATTTAGTCCAGTTTATTTTGAATTGTTCTCAATAAATACAAGAACATACCATCTTAGCGTGCCTTATGTGTCTGTCCTAAAAGGCTTCTGACAGGGTTAAGGTAGATTAAAAGCCAAGAATGTCAGCTTTGATAATTGTTACCTTTTGTAAAAGGTGTTATGTATTAAGCCACCACATTGAGTAACATATGGTCCCACAGTCATTTGATACATACAGTTTTATCAAAATAAATTAATTCTGTATGATTTGCTGATATTAGTTGCTTAAATATGCTTTAAGCCATTGAAAGATTCAGAAACATTTATAACCTGCATGAGAGTATGGGGCAAAAGTTCCCCTCTGCTTAAGGTAGATTACGTCTTTTTAAAAAAAAATCAGCCCTCATGACAATATGGAATGTCCCCAACTAATGGTAGGATGCCAATTCTGAAGTCCAAAACAAAACAGAAAGTTTAAAGCTATAAATCTCAGCTTCAGTAATGTTCATGTATCACTGCAAAACTGCTTTTGGATTTTACCAAAACAGAAACTCAAGGGGGTGTTAATTTCAACAGGAGGCTTCAACGTATAAAATAAACTTTCTAGTGTGAAAAGTTGATTTAAAGATTGCTTCTATTTAATAATAGTACCTCTTAATATATTGGACCAAAAGTTGATCAGACAACATAGCCCACACGTCTGGACATTTAGAATAAAAAAGCTTTTATTTTCAGTTGAAATAAATGCACCGTCCTGTACTTAAAGGCTGTAAAAGAGCCCTATGCATCTTCCAGGTTATACCAACTGATCAAAAGACCTCCACTGGGAAGTTACATAAAGCACTCATAATTGGTAAAGAGAAACTTTTAAAAAAAAATCCATCTTCAGTACTTCTGCACTGTTTTTGTTTTATCCCTTCCCAGGTCAAAAGTTTGTAGAGATATCCCGTGTAACACAAGTTAGTTCATGGTACTGTTTTAGTCATCCTCCTCTTCCTCTTCCTCCTCTTCCTCAAAACTGTCTTCAAAACCTTCACTGTCTTCCTGGTCCTCATCTCCCTCTATTGCTGTATCCCATTGTGGATGGTTTTCTGGCACTGGTTTAGCTTCATGAACTTCCAGCTGCAAATAGAGTTTGAGAGATTGTCCAGAAAAGGATGGAAGCGAGTTAGAACACAGAGATGAATTATTTTATTTAAGTTGTTGGGGCTTACAGAATTATGAATTATGTTACAAGGCTAATAATAATAATAATAATAATAATAATACTTCAGTAAAGTACTTTGTACACACACAGCAAGCCTAATGATAAACAATAAACTTCAAGGGAAAGTGCAGAAGCAGAGAAGCCAAAAGATGAAGCTCAGTGACAGCCCAATGAGCACAATAATTCTGTGTCCAGGGCATCTGTCTACCAGCTCCATCTGGTACACTGGCTGAGACCCTGTCTGCCCGCGGACTGTCTCGCCAGAGTGGTGCATGCTCTGGTTATCTCCTGCTTGGACTACTGCAATGTGCTCTATGTGGAGCTACCTTTGAAGGTGACCCGGAAACTACAACTAATCCAGAATGCGGCAGCTAGACTGGTGACTGGGAGCAGCCGCCGAGACCACATAGCACCGGTCCTGAAAGACCATATTAGCTCCCAGTACATTTTCGAGCACATTTCCAAGTGTTGGCGCTGACCTTTAAAGCCTAAACAGCCTCGGCCCAGTATACCTGAAGGAGCATCTCCACCCCCATCGTTCTGCCCAGACACTGAGGTCCTCCTCCAAGGGTCTTCTACTGGTTCCCTCACTGCAAGAAGCGAAGTTACAGGGAACCAGGCAGAGGGCCTTCTCGGCAGGGGCGCCCTCCCTGTAAAACGCCCTCCCATCCAAGATGTCAAGGAGATCAAGAATTACACAACTTTTAGAAGACGTCTGGAAGGCAGCCTGTATCAGGAGTTTTTTAAGGCTTGGTGTTTTATGTTTTTAGATATGCTGTAAGCCACCCAGAGTGGCTGGGGAAACCCAGCCAGATGGGCGGGGTATAAATAATAAAATTATTTTTTTATTATTATTATTATTAAGGGGCTCCGTCAGCAGGAGTCAATCTGCTTTAGCTCATATAAATGGCTCATTTACATACTACAATTATTTTTTAAAAAAGTAAAGTAGACTCCTAACTAGTTCATTTTTACATCCCCGGATGTCGCACTGAAGTGGCTCTGCAAGTGGCACTGCTATCCTGGATTGTATCTAACGCTAGTGTAAGTGGAAGGGACACCTGCAAAAGGGAATTACTGGCACTGTCTTCCCCACTATGTTCCCCAGCACTCTTAAATAGCCCCTTGTAAGGGACCCCTGACCCCACTCCATCTGATATATCTGAATCTCTCTCTCGAGAGAGAGAGATAAATGTTTCCTACCAGTATCTTAATGCATGCAGATTGTGATCCTTTAGGTCCCAGCCAAGGAGGAACAGAAATAACTGCTCTTGTAGATATGCACACAGATGTGCACTGCCGCAAGAATGAGATAAGAGGCGAAGCATTTTGATCAAGCAGAGCTCATTTGTGGAACAAAATCTCTGGGAAAAGCTCTTCTTCCAGGCAAGAAACCACAATACACACTTCCTGGGAAGGCACTACTTCCACCTCCTTCTTCTAACGGAAGGAAGTGCTATCAGTATCAGATACGGAATCACTGGCCCCAAGGGTATGGAATGCATTTACACAGGGAAATGCACACACCAAAGCTTCTAGATCTGTTTTTGGTACCCCGAAGGCAGTTTTATCTTAGTTTTGCATTGTAAATGGCTCTATCACTGATCTGTGTGTGATTGCATTGATATGCATATATTTGGGTGGTAAGCCAAGTTAGAGATTTTTTAAACTTGCAGTTGTAAATGAAGTTGCAATCTTTGGATCTCGTTGCTTGTGCTTAAGCAGAACTTTGTTCCAAAGATAAACGATCCTTTGGTTAAATGAAAAACCCAGCATTGATGAAGAAATCACAATTGTAGAATAGCACAAGACTGTGTACATTAAATTCTATATAGCAACAGTCACCTTCAATCTCTGCAGTGAATTTGCAAAAACTCCCCTCCCAAACCCGCAAGTGTTAAGAGAGCATACCTTCAATGGTTTAATCTGGTCCAAGCCCATGTAGGAATCTGATCTTAAATAAACCGTATATTGGTAGTTTCCAGGTTTGCCAGGTGCAGGAAACTTTAGTTCTACCTAGAGACAAAATTAATCCACAACAACATCAAGTTATAAGCAGACATTTACAAGCAGAGCTGTGAAACAGTTTTGATAAAATGAACAGAAAAGCCCATAATCATAATAATATTATAACAATGTTTTTAAAATTCATATCCTGCCCATCTTGCTGGATTTCCCCAGCCACTCTGGGTGGCTTACAACATATATAAAACACAACAAAGCATCAAACATTAAAAAACAAAATATCCTATACTGTACAAGCAAGAAATAAACTAATAAATCAATAGAAACCAATAACCACCACCACCACCACCAAGAATAATGGGTGCCCCATGATTGCTCAACAAGTTAAACAGCAGCCATTATTAGTTCTCTTTTATTAATTATTTGTATCTACTTTTGAGAGGTGTAGCTCCTTTCCCTTGGAAGAGAGGAGAGACTTATACTTGCTGGGTTTGGGGGTGTTTTTTTAAGAATAAGAGTGTCAATGGGAATAAGTATCTTACTGCTACACCAGTGGTTCAAACAAATGTTGGAAAGTAACATGATACTTTACCTCTTCCCGATCTTTTAGTGTACACACATGATATGGCATAGATATTAGTGTTTGTTCCTTCCTATCTGCTATATATAGCCACCACCATTCTTGCTTTTCCTGTTCAGGAGAAAAATAGGGAGGACGTTAGAAAAAAGAAAAAGAAAGCCTTACCTAGATCAGTGAAACTGAATTTTCAATTTGAAAACTTGTGCATTTTTGTACATTCAGCAGGAGCTGCAAGCGCTTTGGTTGAATTGGCTCATCCCAAGAAAGCTTTCTTAGCTTCTTCCTTGCTGCACCTCACCACCCTTAATATAGACCAGGGAGTCAAAATATTGCCATTTTAGGCAGTGACGTTTTTGGAAAGCACAGATGAAGTGCTAGGTTTGGGTCTCAACTATACTACTTCATTTAGATCAGGCTTCCTCAACCTTGGCCCTCCAGATGTTTTTGGCCTACAACTCCCATGATCCCTAGCTAGCAGGACCAGTGGTCAGGGATGATAGGAATTGTAGTCTCAAAACATCTGGAGGGCCGAGGTTGAGGAAGCCTGATTTAGACTGAGGTTAGAAGCTGTCAATATGGATTGCCCCTTTATGAATACAGAAAGTTAGATGTTGGGAAGGAGGGTTCTAAGCCTAGCTTTTTCCTTTACATGCTTGTCTTCTGTGTCAGAATCTTCTGCCCAATCATATGAGAGCTGCCACCTGCATTACAAAGGGATATAGACCCCTTGACTCTTCACTGCTTTAGTCTCTGACTCCTTATTGTAAACCATTTCGATATTTTAGATCTAGTAAGTGTTGCATAAGTAGACAAAATAAAATAGTAAACTAATAATAAATAATATACCTGGCACACCGATTTATCGCCTTACCAACTGCTTGAGATAACTAGGCCTAAATTGCCTAGATTAAACGCCACTTAAGAAGAGAGATCTAGAGAGTCCATAATAGGGTCGTCTCCATGACCACGCCAGTACTGCCTGTCCTGTCCGTCTTTGGTATCTATTTGCTTCTTTTAATAGTAGACTCAGGTGTTTGAGTGCCAACATGACTGAGCCAAATAGGGTCACAACAGGAACAGACAGGCATCAAATGCTCAGGTGAACAGTGAAGTGTCCGTTCTTACATGTACAACGCCCCCCCCTCCCAGAAATATCCAAATAGGGATGGGGTTCTCTGTGACTTCCAGGAGTTTTAGTAGGTTGAAAAACTGAAAATGAGAGGGGAGGGAGTTAAGCTGGCCTGCTTGAGCCCACCACAAGTTATAGTGACCTCAAAGAGGATGCAGCTGGCATCCTGACCATGAGCACTCTGTTAGGGGTCAATATTTCTACCTTTCATAGAAGGGTCTGCTTGTTTCAGTTTTGTGGTACTTAATTTTGTGTAAACAGATTTCCAGTGTTTCCAATTTCCACAAAACAGATCTAACTGATGTGTGTTAATTTGCACTCCCAATGGTACAAAACACTCTCTAAATAGGGATTAAAAAGAGAGCAATTGTTTTCAAAAAAATAAAGGCTGTTGTGTTACTAAAATATTAATCACAATGGCTAGTTCTGCACTCTAGCATGGCAGATGAACAAAGAATAAACTGTTCATATGGCAAGCCAATATTAATGAGATTGGCACAATTTTGAAGAAACAGAGCAGTCTTAAGTGTCAGACAAAACTAAGCATGTTGCCCAATATTTGGCACTGCTTGACAAGAAAGATTTAGATTTCTGTTCTAAAGGTTTCCTTTTTAAGCAGATCACTGATAGAATAGAGTGCATGTCTGGATTAAGCTGGCACACTACCTGTGGAGTGGGCAATGCTCTTTTCAAGCAGATGGGTGGTAAACATAAGCATGCCAGGAAATCAGTATGTTTATGGAACTGAATATGAGGGCAAGGTTCCACGGCAACCTGTGCAGTTCTTAGCTCCACTTATCACGAAATAGCTTATTTAGTAGTCTAATGAGAAGATACAACCTCAGCAAATCCCAGCTCAACATTCTGCAGAGAGTACAGCATGGAATATCTAAAGAAGTTATTGCCAAGATCCCCAGCAAAACTCAAGAGACTGCAGTTTCCTATACCACTTTACAAGAACACCACATTGGGAACTGCTCCTGAACAAATGGGGGAAGTATAAGAGTATGGCTGTGCAGAAAGATAGCCAGGTACTGCAGAGTTTGAAGTCTTCAGGTCTCCCTTATTTTGTGAACAACTGTCATGAAAGCTTTTAAAAAAAGCTTTATAATATTAATTTCAGAATCAAGTTTTATACTTAAATTGGCTTTATAACTTGTCAAAAGGAGAATGATTTCAATGCAACATTATTTAGCTCTCCATCTGCTGACCTCAGGAAAGTAGAGACTGTACACAGGATGGGTTATTTTTGATTTGGTTTCCAAGAGAGCCCGTTCCTTGCGCTGTATACTCTGCTGTAATTCCTGCCACTCCTAATGGAGAGAGAAGAGGTATTCAGCATATTTTAGAAAGTAATTTCACAACGTGGTAGGAAGTGTAGGTGAATGAAAACGGGAATACAAACATCTTAATGTTACTGACAATGATGATAGGACAAAGTTTTTTGAAATCAGTTCTTACCAGTTATCATTGCCATCTTTCAATAAAACCCCCAACATATTTCCATATTACAGAAATAACCAGCTTCAGAGCTTTATATTCTGCAACCAAGGCATGGATTTTCTCCGTATCAACAATATCCCAATTCTTTTCCTCACCCATCAGTCCTCTCTGCACTTAAAATATTATAAGCAGTAGCCTATACATTGCTGAGACACAGTCTTCCAGAATTCTAGTTCTAGAACCAAGCGTGCACAAACTTATGCAATGCAATAATTACTATACAGTACTATCATAGCTTCTAATGCAGAGTGGAGATTTTATATGGGGAATTATACAGGAAGCTCATCCATTATCGAGACGTGCATACAAATGTGCGTCTGTGTGTTTTTCCAGCATAAGAACAGTCCTGGTAAAGACCAATGGCCCATCTAATCCAGCATTTTATGAACTGTGGCCAGCCAGGTATCTATTGGGAGCCCACAAGCAGGACCCAAGCACAGCAGCACTCTTTCCACTTGTGATTCCTAGCAAATGATATTCAGAAGCAGACTGCTTCTGATACTGGAGTGCTTATCATGACTAGCAGTCTTTGATTTATTCCCTTCAACAATGCTCTTAGCTGAGAAACAGCATTTCCCCCTTTTCACAGATGCAAGAACTCTGACGGCCCTCTTAACGACAAAAAAGTTTTCCCAGTACACATGGTTATAATCAGCCGACCACCATCCTATTATTGATGTTACATTGCAATGACATCACACACTGACAAGTGAGCCTTACAGCTTCATCATCCTTGCTTTGTTTCTCGTCTTGTTCTCTGTCGGAGTCTCTGTCGCTTCCATCATCTTTGTCACTTAAAGAGTCTCTATTAGTGTCATCTTCATCAGATTCACTCCCTTTATCAGAAACTTCATCTTCGTCTTCCTTTACAACTTCCTACAGAAAAAGGACAATCCTGTGATTACTTTAACAACAGTACTCAAGAGCTCTGACACTGATGGCATAAGATGGAACAGAAGATTTGTTCAAATACTGCACTGAATCCTTCCATTTCATGGATGGCTTTTCAGCACTGCAGGACAAATTTGATAGGCAGGCAGGAATGCCACCTGTCAATCACTCGATGTCACAATTATGCCAAGTGATTTGGGACTTCAAAGTGCCACATGCAGTCGATGCAGTAGACTTTAGCTCTATCACCCAACGGCTGATGGGCAGTAAAGACAAAACCTGCTTTCTCTTGCCAATGCAAAATCAGGAGCACACTTCAATGCCCCCAACTGCACTGCCCTGCCCTACCTACCTGCCCTACACATGATGTCACAAATGATGTCTTGTGTGGGACAGGCAGTCATGGTTTGGGGAAAACGGCTTTACAGGCCAAAAGTGGCCCGCAGGTGAAAGGTTCCTGGCATCTGCTGTAGCCATGTCCATCTCTTCAAAGAACGGTTAGAAAAATCTTACGAAAAGGCTGACAACTAATATTTCCTAATGAAACAAATGAAGCCATGTTATCAAATTCTATCTAAAATCAAAGTCTGATATACTGCAGTTTTTATTCATAGATAAACATATATGTGTGTGTGTGTGTGTGTGTGTGATGTAATACATATACACACCCCCGTCTCCGCTCTGTGAGTCCTAGATAAGGATGGACAGCAACATTACTTTCTGTCAACTGATATAGGGGCCTGCCTTCGAATCCTGAATAACAGCATTGTTTTTTCTAACCTGAGTTTTTTCTAACCTGAGTAAGGTGATTTTACACTGCCTACAATATGCAGCTTGTTGGCTTGATTTTGACTTCTAAAAGGGCTGCCTTAAACACTACTCTACTTTTCCCTAGGATTTTAGTCAGTGCTCTCTGTTAGGTCCCATAGCTTAGCCGCTCCTCCCCACTCCCATCTGTGCTGATACATACACTCCCTGCAACTCCATTTGCTTGCTTTTGCTTCTGCTGCTTTGTCTGCTGAAGAGGGGCTGGTGCAGGCTTCTTTTTCACAACTTTCTTCTTCTTTGATTTTGAAGCCTTCTTTGTCCCTTTGTTCTTTTGCTGCCATCCTTTGCTCTTCGTTTTGTTAGCATCGCCTTGCTGCAAAGTAAACAAGGGTTTAACATCAAGAGTGGACGCTTCCACGTCAAGCTGCTTTCAAGGTTACAACCGATAACCTCAGAGCCTTTTAAGTTTGTAGCAAAGTAGCAAGCCTTCGGGCAACAGTATCCGCCAGGACACCTCTGGATCTCAGAGCATTCCGTTTGATAGCCAGCCTCCCCAGTGCCAATGGACAACACATGCTACATGTCAGCTGGTGGAGGGAAAAGCCAAGGCAATGAGAAAGGCAAGCCAAGATGAGACAAGACACTGCATAACTATCATCAGAAATGGTGGCTGCACGCGAGATTTAGCAGGCGCAGATCTGCTCTAGTTTCCAACATCGATCACACTGCTCTTGACAGCCATGGTTAAGTGAGACAGGGTTAAGTGGGATACTTATGCAAACAGCAGAGGAGCATGCTTTTAATGTAGCTGTATTTCCATTTATTTCTAACATAAGGAGCTCATTGAGATGCAACATAGTCACCCAAAACCACTAGTTCTGAACTTACGCCATCCTCCGCAGGCTGCTCTTCAGCTGAACAGGTCGACTGCTCTTTTTCGAATACTTCCTGAATAGGGAGGCAAGCAAAGTCTATTAGTCTCACAATACCAACAACATGAATTCATGATCGACTCAGTGTTCCGAATGGGCAAGGCACTAGCTCACTCCTCAAACATATGAAGATTCTAGTTATTAACAGAGAGGCTTCTCGGTAGTGGCACCCGCCCTGTGGAACGCCCTCCCATCAGATGTCAAGGAAACAAACAACTACAGTGGTACCTCAGGTTAAGTACTTAATTTGTTCCAGAGGTCCGTACTTAACCTGAAACTGTTCTTAACCTGAAGCACCACTTTAGCTAATGGGACCTCCTGCTGCTGCCACGCCACCAGAGCCCAATTTCTGTTCTTATCCTGAAGCAAAGTTCTTAACTGAAGCACTATTTCTAGGTTAGCGGAGTGTGTAACCTGAAGCATATGTAACCTGAGGTACCACTGTATCTGACTTTTAGAAGACGTCTGAAGGCAGCCCTGTTTAGGGAAGTTTTTTAAGTTTGATGTTTTATTGTGTTTTTAATATTCTGTTGGGAGCTGCCCAGAGTGGCAGGGTATAAATATTATTATTATTATTATTATTATTATTATCCTACATCCAGTCTACAAAACTGGTTAACCACCATGAAATCACTTGCTTTCCAAATGATTGGCAGCTGAGTATGTGAGGCTGACTGCACAAAAAAGTATGTGAATGTGAGGTCTGAAATTTTCTTCTCTCTGGTGTTTTATCTTCAGTGACCCTTAATACATGAGAACATCGGAACCTGCCTTATATAGAGACCACTGATCCCATCTAGCTCAGTACTGCTGAGTTTCAGACAGTCCTGAGGTCTTCAGGTCTCCAAGTAGGGCCTTTCCCAGCCCTACTTGGAGAGGCCAGGGATTGAACATGGGACTTCTGTAGGCAAAGCAGGGGCTCTACCACTGAAATATGGTCCTTGGCCATCAATGATGACTCAGGGCATATCATTGACCACTGCTGCTCAATTTATGAACCAGATGTGCAGTTAGATGGAAGTAAGTTTTTTTTGCTCAATATACATTTTTGAAAGTTTGAACCCAAAAATAATGTGTGCAAATAAGAATACTTACTGCCATTGTCTGTCTTGTTAGGGTGACCAAAACTGTAACGAGCGATCCTACTGTGATGTTGTTGCTGTCCTCGTCATCCAAAACTTGGGAAGGAAGAGGAAGGGGTGAAAGGATACATCAATTTACGCTGGTTTTTTCCCCCAATTTAATAGCTTCCTTGTAAATAAGCTTCACTCAGCTGTCAAATTTATGACTGCAATCCTACTTGAGAGTATCTTAAAAGAAGTTTGAAAATGCAACTTAAAGCCCTCACTGGCACCTTTAACCAGCCATCCAACTGAAAGTTAAGACTCAAGGGACTTTCTGAATGTGGCACAAGGAGTGTGGAGAGGTGTTTGGTTCACCAGAGTGTTCCTCACAGGAAATATGCTGCTGAGACACAGGATTGGACTCTCTGCCCATCAACTGATGTTACCTGATGATGTCTTCTGATTGGTAAGTGGGCATGGCAAAGGAGAAACGACTTTGTAGGCCAAATTGGACCCATTGGCAGTCCAAGATAGGCTTGCAAGCTAGAGCTTTCTCAAACTCTAAATCTAAGACTACAGAATGCAGGAAATCTGCAATTCCTTAAGGCTAAACAATTTAAATTCTACAGACACCATTAAGTGCACCATGAATGCATACCAAATAATGAGGAGCAGACATTTAGAACACCACCTACCCTGGGGTTTTATATCCATGGTGATATGTGGAAAACTGCCAAGGACAGCCATAACATCTTCATATTTTTCATCTTCAAGGAAGTGCAGTAAATTGTGGCGATCCGATGCTTTTAAACTCACTAGGTCTTGGATGGTTTTGATTTTGTACTGGGTAAAAAAAAGCAAAAATTCTATTTTCCAAAAATAAAACCCACTACCACATAATTTATTGATATTGCTAACATCTATCACAGTGGGAACAGAAAGTATGAACAGTGGCACTCTCTGGAAAATTAAGTAACGGAGTCAAGGCATTGTGGAATTAACTTTTTCCAAGTCATAGATTGAGCAAGTTAGTTTGAACATGGCTCCTGATGACCTACAGAACCTTACCTTTTTATGATTAGAAACCCGTCTGAGATTGTCCTCTTCAATGTGTGGGAGTTGGAGGAGTGGAGATTTAAACTGCTGAAGCCCTTGAACAGTCATCTGTGAAAGCTTCATGCAGTTTTCCAGAGAACCCAATGATGGAGCACGAAACTCTCTTTCTGGAGGAATGGGAGAGAAGGAGAAAAATAATGTATACTTAACTGTTAGTGAGACATTTCAGTAACTCAGGAATTAATACAACAAGCGTTTTTACTAAATACGTCAATTCTCTAAGGTTGTACTACATACTTCAGTGAAACTGGAGAGAATATTAAAAGGGGGAAGACTGGTTTTTTTAAAAAAAAAACTGTTTTGTTTCAAAGTTTTGTGTAGTAATGCAACACAGTTTAATACCCACTTTAGTATCTTATTTTCAAAATAAATATTTAGGGTGGTATGAAGTAGTTCCATTAGCACAAGGACTTCTAGTAGTGCAACAGAATCCCCCCCTCCTCACACTCTGTACCCCATAAATCTGTTCTGAAGGGCAAGGGGAGGAGAGGGGTGTTAAGGTCAGTTGTGCAAATGGAAATCTTTGGGCTAATGTAACTACTTTGTTGGAGACCTCCCTTAGATATTGATTTGACATAAGTCAGTAAAAGCCTTTTTTAAAAAAAATAATACATGAAATGCCAACTTCACATAAGAAAATTTCTCTTTCTTTACAGAAAATTGGCTACTTCTTTCTATAACTATTTCCCTAATAAATTGCCTGTATCTCCTAGAAACAAATTATTCTGAGGGGGAAATTATCGATATCTTGTAGAATTCATGAGGGTGTGAAGGTATATTTTACAAGCTGGGATATAATAAAGCTTATTCTTACCTTCACGGCTACGTGCCATTATGATTAGCTGGCAGATTACATTAACCATTTCTTGAAGCAAAGCAGGACACTTTTTCAAGATAAACTGCTGATCTGCAAGACATAAGACATTCAACAGTTCTGTATATAAGGTAAATCTTGCCACACAGTGTAGCTTTTGTCTCATTTTTTGATTATGTTATACTGCTATTAATATCTCCTTGCCATATGTTCCTTATGTTTATACAGACAGAAGTGTCATAATGTGTGGCCCATCCCACTTTTTCAAAATCGTGTCACCCTTTAGAACAATCTTATACTTAAGATTTACCTAAAACTAAAGCATGATCACTTTCAATTGCTTTACTGTATGTACATCTCTCTCCTCCCTCCAGATGATGATGGTCTACAATATCCCTGATCACCGGTGTTTGTGGCTGGGACTGTAGTCCAAAAACATCTGGAGGGCCACAGGTTAGCCACCTTTGCTGTGTAGGCTAATAAAAAGGGAGGGAATTGTAGAAGGCGCAACTTGTCAAACAAGTGCTGAAATGGCCTCTTTCAAGCAACAGCAACACAGGGAGCTACCTCATACCAATTCAGACCATTGGTCCATCTAGTTTAGTATTGCTTACACCAACTGGCAGCAGCTCTCTAGGGAGGCACCAGAAATTGAACCTGAAACCTTCAACATGCAACCAACAGGTGAGCTAACACTGAACTAAGTCCCTTCCTTGGAGCTCCGTCCTACTCTGTGACCATTGTGTCCAAATGAATTAAACAAGATAGGAGCAGGTTTTGATTTTTTTTTTTTAATGGTTGGAGTTATCAAGAGCAGAGGGACATTTTAGCTCCCCAACCCAGTAGTGTCTGAGTGTGCCCCTTTATGTGACCCTAAGTAAATGGATAGAAGCAGAAAGGTAAAATGCTGCACTTCAAAATAATACTGCAATGACACTGAGGAGGCCTAATCAACAGGAACTCCGTAGGTGGGTGAGAAAGTGTTTTTCCTTTCCCTTCTGCAAAAAAAAGGGGGGGACAGGGTTGTGAGAGGTGATATATTTGCAACACTTACCTCTTCTCAACCCTGTAATAACCCCCCCCCCAAAAAAAACCCTAAAACCCAAAGAAGTCCGATTCAAGAGGTCAAAAGAAAGATTCACAGTTTGTGACACTTTCATCCACAGAAGAGCCTGAAACTTTCAAATTGGTTTGTGTCCAATTTTGCCCCTCTGACTGGGTTGCCCCAGCCACTCTGGGCAGCTACCAACAGAATATACAAAAACACAACAGAATGAAAACAGCACATGAAATGCTTCCCGATACAGGGCTGCCTTCAGATATTACGGAAGGTCGTATAATTATTTCTCTCTTTGACATCTGAGTGGGGAAGCCAATTTTGCTTGGTGCAGCTTCAGACCTCAGAAGCCAGAGAGGTTTTGATATGCCCAGGGGTAGAGGCAAGATTTCAAATGTGCAATATGGTTTCCAGGACTAAAAGCTATAAATGATGCCTAATGAAAGTAAGTTATTCAGTGTATTTATCAGGCTGCATAATTCCACTTTCTTAGCATGGAATATGGATCCCTTTGTGGTTTTTCTTTTTTAAAAAAAATACAGTGCACACATGCCTGGCCATAAAAACCAAGAGAGTGATAAGACCAGAACTTATGACTTGACATGCTCCACTTCAAGGCCTAGTTCTAGCCTCATGCTGTTGTGGTTTCTCAAGCAAGGTACCTTGTTCAAGTGTCTCAGGAATTTTCATTCTGGCAAGGTGAGCCAGTAAGAGCACTCTGGCCTTCAGGCTGTAAGGACAGGTAAGAGGAGGTTCGTTTTTCTTCAGATTAATGCTGCCAATTTCCCTGATTAGCTGAAACGACAAACGGAAGGGGGTTAACTAAATAATATTTTGGCACCAACACTCGTAGTTTAACATTTCTCAGCAATAGCAAACCTGTGGTATTTGAATGTTGTCTACAGGTCTGCTTGTTGCATCTTTATTATACTGCGGGTCAAATTCGGAAGCACCTGCTAAAACCATTATAAGCCCTGCAAAGAAAACCAGAATATAAATACAAAGCAAGCATTTGGAAATACCCTTTTACTACAGTTGCCCAGCTCCAAAAAAAAGTGTTAGCATGCCTTCCCACTGCCCACAGGTCTGCTTCCAGACAAGGAAATCAGGATACAATAAAAGCTGGCGGGAGCTGTTTTCTCAGCCACCACAATGGGCCTAGTTCTCACTGAGGTAGGCAGGCATATATCTGAACTGTACCACTGCAAGGAGAAGCTCACATAACTGCTAAAAAAAAAATCTGCATTAAAAACTGTATTTCACGGAAAACTGTTTTAGCCTAGCTTTCACTCAGATGTGTTAATTCTTTATCTGTGGCAAGAGAGGGTTATAGGAGGAAGAGCATTAAGTCATGCAAATCTCCACCTGAGTCTAAAGTGGCAGCACCACTTTACTTACCATCCTAAGTTCCCATGTCTCCCTGAAGGAACTGAGCAGCATTCTAAAGGAAACCCCTAAGCATACTGAAACATTGATCCATTGAATGCTTAGGCAATCCACACAGAGAGTTACATTTTTAAACGCTGAAGAACAGTCAAATGAGTGCAGAATTCAACAATTCATCCTTTTAACTGGTGCTTTGAAACTTACTTTTCATATCCATGTTTCTTGTTTTATAAACAAAATAGGTATAAATCTGGGTGGTGCGGATGAGAATCTGGTCTCCACTGTAGCGTATTGATCGATACCACCAGGAACCCTAAAACATTCAAGACAGGAAAAAGTGACAGCTATTAATTTCATTGAAATATGTCAAAATAATATAGCCTCCAGTTCTGACACTCTGCATTGTAAAAGTGTGCTTACAGGGCCAATGAATGAGCAGGTGGAATATGGTTGTAAGCCCAGTGAGCCTGCAGCCCCAGCTTTTACCAAAATGCACCTTTTCCCTTTCCTAAATACTTACCACAACCACTGGAAGAATAACCATAAATGCCAATCCATAAACAAGCAGGACCTAGAAGAATATAATGGGAGAAAATCAGACATTCTGACCAAGCCATAAGTAATTACAGATAGAGCAATCAGTCTTCACCATTACAGCCATATGTTAAGGTGTTTGAAGGACTAAACCACTGAGCACTTAGAGTAAAAATTTCAGAAACTTACAAGCAATCAAGTAGGATATTTTAAGATTTGTACTGAAAGCCCACCTTAAGTTTTTCTTGCTAGACCATTTTAAATACTCCAAGGGGTGCACCATTCCAGGGCTGAAGCATTTTAGATGCATTTTAACTCTTTACAAAACTAGTCCACAACTCTGAATGGGCAAGTGCATAAGCACTTCCTCACAGCTGGTTACAGAAAAGCCAAAGCTTATAAATATCCTGCATGCATGGATCGTCACCTTTCTGAAAACGACTACAGAACCCGTGAATACGCATAAGTAATCTGCACTGTGGTTTTCAGCTTGAACAGTTAAACTGGCAGAGAACAGAATGTTACCATACCAAAATAGAATTCTTCTGATCCACAATCCAAGCTGGCAACGCAATCCCAAAGCTTGTAGCTGCAGAGAACAAGAAAACAGGTTACGAAATAGTAAGACAGTAAACTCAAATGAATTCATGCATTTGTGTAAGCTGTATATATTGTGGATTTAAAAAAAATATATCCCAGTACTTCCTGTATGTTGGGAAAACAGGAACTAAAGTTCTTGAAACGACCGTCTGTGCAATCACATATAGAGTTTCACATTTGTGCAGAACAAACTATTGGGATATTCTAGAGTTCTAGTCAGGGAGCTGATGCTCAGGTTCTTAACCCTCATGGGAATCCTTTGCTACTGATGCATGGCTTGAGAGATTAGGTTAGCCCTTTCCATTCAACTCCCTCACATGCACCAAGAAACAAAAGGTACTTGGAGGAGGAAGGGTGAGCAGATTTTTGTAAAAAAAAAAAGCACAGATAACCACTTGAAAAAGAACTATGTATAGGGAAAGAATACCAGCTGGGTCCAGGAAGTGGTGAATGCTCCTTTATGAAACTAATCAAGTCCCAGCTGCCTTGAAACAGGAGGTTGTGAGATTGCTCCTAAAAGAACTTTTCCTTAGACGTGGAAAATTGTAACAACTATTGGCTAGTTGCAAATATCGCCTTCTTGGCCAAAGTGTGATCAGGTGGCTGCCATGCAAGCTCATCTGAATGATACTCATTATCAGAACCATTTCAATCTGGTTTCAGACCAGCTGAATAGCTTACTGAAGAGCTATGCCTACAGAGCAAGCTCCCAGTGCTGCTGATGCCATGGCAATTGGAACTCACCATACAACTGCCAGCTCCCTGGCTACAGCTTCACAGCGAGTTGGTTCTTTGCAGGCAGAGAACACCATGTGTGACTGTACTGGAGTAATAAGGAAACTGCACATACAAAGTATTGCATATTATGGCTGCAATCTCTGCCTGCACAAAAGCAATCATTTATGTCAGTGTTACTCATTTACATGTATTTTAATATAATTAAGTGCTGGACAACACTGCATTTGAGGTTCTTACCCATCAAAATCAATTCACAAAGCAAAACATGTAGAAATTTTCCAGGCTGGTTATTTGGATAATTAAGTTGGGGGGGGGGAGGCTCAGTAAAAAATGCTAGATTTGGGTGTATGGGAAAGTGCAGTTGGTGCAAAGATGTGTAACAGTGAACAAAATGAATAAAACTCCAACCACCACCAGAAAGGACAAAAGTTGGAGTACTAAATAAACTCAGATATATAGATATAGATATAGATATAGATATAGATATAGATATAGATATAGATATAGATATAGATATAGATATATAGAGTGGCTTGGGCAACCCAATCAGAAGGGAGACAGGAGGAGGAAGAGGAGGAGGAGGAGGAGGAGTTGTTATAGGTCTACCTTGTGGCCCATCAGGATTGCCAAATTCTTCCCAATTCTTTCGAGATTCTTCATCAGTTAAACTAGCAAATGAAGGCAGAAAGCATGTTAGAAAACCCCTCAATACTTCCTTGACTGTTCCTTAAGGGAACAGTGCCCTCTGCTGTTCAGTGACTACAACTTATTTGACCACCCAGATGTTCATTCCAAACAAACAAAAGGGAAGTTTATCAGCAAAGGGCTACACAGAGTTCCAAATTTACCACCAACTTTATGGAAATCATGCAAATTTGCACCATGTCTCTGGAGTTTTACAAAGTATTTTAGCAGAGATTGCAGTGCTAGAGCATAAAGGTGGGGCAAAATGAGCAAAGCATCAGTACAATAAAGCTATCAGATGAGATTTCCTAAACCAATAGACCTGAGTGCTAGAAGATGATATTAATCTACTTTACAAGCTGGGTTTTTTGCAACTTCAACTTACTCATTTAGGAGGAGATATACTAATTAGCTAGGGTAAGACAAGAATCAGTACAAGCAATATTAGGCTGTTACTGCAGCAATTGCTGACATCGCATGATGAAGTGACTCAGATTTAGATCATGATGTTAAGTATCAACAAGTATTAGCCTGCATTATCAACCTCCCATCCTATATACAGAACTTATTAAGAAACTTACGCTGCATATGCCTTTGCAATCCTCATAAACATAACTTCATCGCCTCCTTTATCTGGATGGTATTTCAATGATAGCAAACGGTACTGCTTTTTAATTTCTGACACAGTTGCTCCCTATTAAGGTAAAAGTTTCAAGTTAGTTATATCAAACCTATTAATGAGAACTTCTACCGCTTAAGACACCTGCTCTAATTTCTCAGCACCACTCAATAGACAATCAAAGTGAAGGCAAAGATGTATCATAAAGGGTTCATGTCCACAGCTATATGCTGAAAGGACTCTTATTCAGTTGGAACCAAACTGACCACCCCAGATCAGTATGCAGTGTGGGAGGAAAAGGGGATTCCCCCAACCCAAATACTTGACCTGATGATATGATCACCTTAGTATCATGTTCAATTCGTCCCAATAGGTTCAGTGGAACCAAAGAATTCTGAGAAGCCCATAAGAATCAGTGGGGATACAACCTCCCTGTCCAGGCTCAAGCACGGATTGCCCACCAAAGTCATGTCAGTCCAAAACTGCCAACCCAGACTGGAAAGGACTGAAGGATATGCCCCTATCAAATTTCTGCCATTGCTACCATTACCATCTTCATTTTATTGCTTATTGATAAGTATAACTTACAGAGCACTTTGAATAGTGAATCTTGTTTGAAAGAATATATGCGTAAATATGTGCCCCATATTTTTTTATTTATAAAGTTTTATAAACTGCTTAATCAGAAAAAATAACTAAGGTGTATATGGTATTATTACATTTAGGCAGCTGAGCATGTTCAAATCTACTTTAACCTTCCCATTATTCTATTCTGTACATGTAAATTTATGCCGAACTGAATTAAAACTAAATTAAATAGTAAAGGATATTACTTACTGGGTCTAAATTTAATACTTCATATGGATTGTATTCTTGATATTCTCTGTCTGTTTTGGAAACTTTGTAAGCAAGAAACAAAAACAGTGCCCATCCAGCAAGCAGAACTATTTTCCTGTTGAAGTTGAAAGATTAAAGTAAGAATTTCAGACATGTATGCCACCAGTTTGTATGAATATGCTGGGAAAAGACAGTATCACAGACAAAAATCCCAATGGCCAAAAACGCAGAGCTATTCCCTCTCATAATTAATGGGAACAGAATAATATCACCAATGCAAACTGAATAAGCATTCCCCAGAATTTTACGCATCTCTCTTCAGTTCTAAGTTATTAACTCCTATTCCTTTCATTGTGGAGGAATGCCCATCATGGGGCATGTGATTCCTCTCTGTAGCACTCTATAAAAAGGGAACACAAGCATGGAAGGGTTTTGTGTGTGGTGCACTGAAGCAGATGACCAAGTGGAAGCATCTATATAAGCTGTCTTGCCAAGAAGGCGAAACCAATGTGGATTTCTCAATACACGCCTTCATATAGGTGTGGGGAACCTTTAGCACTCCAGATGTTGCTGAACTACAACTCCCACCAGCCCCAGCAAGCAGAGCCTATAGTCAAGGATAAGAGTTGTAGTTCAGCAACATCTGGAGGTCAAAGGCTCCGCACACCTGCCTTAATAGAACAGTGAAGTAAATTCATTCAAACCAGTTAATTCATACTTCTTAAGGAAACCCTCTCCACACACACTCATCTGCCAAGAAATCTATGGTGTCCATGGAACCCCATGAAACACAAAAGACTGTAGGATTGTTCTGCATCACATTCCAAATCCATGTAAAGTATCAGGCCTCCATAATTTCACATAATTAATTTCACCTAAAATAGACCCAACACCTCCCTTTGTCTAGACTTCTTAAGATAATATCAATAGTGATGGGTAACTCATCCTTCAGTGAAGTTTGTCTGCTACTTATGTTCACATTGAAGAACCCCCAATAAACTTCTTAAGAACCCCAGAACACAGTTTAAAATCAGGAGCATAATTCCTTAGTAAAGTTGCAGATCCAAACCATTCACTTTGGATTCCCAGTGGAATCCTTCCATGATGTGTTGTTCAACCTTTGATCTTCTTTATAGTTTCTTTATAGCTTCTTTATAGTTATGATCCCGTCAGTCCACCCACAAGTCTACTAAGACCTATGGATGATCGTCCGGCATCATACTACAGAAAGCAACATTACATTTTCAACTGAAAAGTAACATTGAATTAACTACAGTAGCAGAACAGAAATTCTAGATAATAAACGATACTTACTTTATGGTGGGAATTATATTCTGCTGGGGTTTTAACAACCGTAATCGATACCACAGGCATCTTCCATACACTTTTCTTAAATTCTTTAAGCGAATTTGCTCTGTGAAGGAAAAAGGTGGTTTAAAATTTGGTAGTAGCAAAACAAGTAGTGACTTGGATTTCTTGAATCTGCTCAAACCTTAAAATAAAAATAAATAAATTATAATTCAACTATAAAGACTAAGATTTCAACTCTTTCATAGGAACTTATTTGCACACCATATAAATATTAATTAACAGTTTACCATGAATGTGCAAATAGCTCCTGCTTCACCTTTCTTCTAGAATGAGTGGGGATTACAAAACCAAGATCCTCGGCTTAGCATTACTTCCAGACTGCGGGTTAAGGTTTCCTCAAACAAGCCATTACATGAAGACAAGGGTTTGCTGTTGGGCAAAACAGACTGCAATTGCCCATTTGGACATAAGACTAAGACAAACACCCATTTTTGCTGATGGAGGAGTGAAGCGAGAGTGATCTCTACATTCACAGTAAACCAATAGCTATTGCTTGCTGCTACATATAAACTGGGCCATAGTATCATCTTCAATTACAGGTTCACACAAAAGAATATACAATTGACAACTACAATGTGTCAATATGGTTACATACTGCAACAGTCTAAATAAATTATCCATTTATTTATCAAAAGGAGAAGCACAACCTGAAGTCATCTCCTTAAGTGATATTAAACATATAAATTAAAGCAAAATATGCAATTTGATATAATGAACCAGATATTTTATAGATACAGTATGAACCTCAGAGGTGAAAAGGTTGCTCATGCTTATATATTATGCAAACCTATGTCCTCCATTATGTAAATCAACTCAGTTGTCTTGCAGTTATGTTTTAAAGAGGTTTTGCTTGGATATCACAATAGAAATGCATGAACTAGCAAAATTTAAACTGGCTTTTAAACCTCAAACTGAATTAATTTACAGAAAGCATTGTAAAGTCAAGGTAACTTGTTTCTTATCTTAAAATGCAGAAATATTCGTAAAATGCAGAATAATGCAAGATAAATACCCTTATTAAAGTGAGATCTTAACTATGGATGTTAAGGACTGTGATTAAATATTTTCCAACCCTCTGCAATAGAAGTGTTGTAGATCCAACTTTCAACATTAATTCTGGCACTGCAATTCTACATGTATGTGCAACATCCAAGCATTTAAATAGACTGATTTCAAAGAGCCTTAGAACCAAAGAACTTTTATGCCATCTTGATAATAATACAGGTAAAAGAACTGAGCTAAGGAGTGTTTCTTTCCATCCTAAGTCGTCCCCTTTTATTCTGGTTTGGCATTACATGTAAAGGGCAGTCTTCTAGCCTGGTCCCTTTTAGCTCTAACTAATGGCGCTGCTATCATTATGTTGATAAGTCCCACTATCTCTTTGATCCAGCAAGTAGTTATAAATGGTACTTAGGTAAAGTTAAGTCTGCTATAGTCTTGACTTTTATGCAGCCTAACATTTAACACATGTATTTGATAGGCATTCTGCCTGCAGCCACCCTGCTTTCCTTTAGGAGTAAGGGAGCAAGTTCTCTCTTTATCTAAGGCAGGCAGGTCCAACAGGTAGATCGTGATCTACCGGTAGATCACTGGACATCTGCAGTAGATCACTGGCTCCCCACAAAGAAGCTGAACAAATGTGGCTCCCCTAAAAAAAGCTCAACCTTTTACCTCCTCCCTGAAAAAACTTAACAACTTTGACCCGAACCCCAAAAAAGGGAGTAAATCACTGCCAGTTTTTAACTCTGTCAGTAGATCTTGGGAGTTGGCCACTCCTGATCTAAGGTATCCCAGTTTCTACACTTCCCACACTCTCCTGGCCATGGAAATAGAATTAATCAAAATATTAGCTTTGCTTTTAAGGGAGGTTAAGAGGTACCATTCCCAAGCATTTGGTCACAATCATACATGTGTGTTCTTGGTAACTCTCGGGAGTGGAACAAGTGCAGTCTCTCTACTTAAATTGCACATTCCTCTTTAATTATTTCGAAAGCGATAACATACAATTCTTTACCACTGTTTCAAGATGCAAATAGGTTCTTGAAACTAAAAAAAAATGTTTATCTTTCCAACTCATTTATTACTGTTGTGCGTCACTGGTTAAAAACATGATGGCTTGTTTTCGCTCTTCCATTACACAGTGTCCTAAATTGTAGTAAGTAATACAAACAAACCAAGAAGCATATGCACAGTTTTTTAAAAGCACTTAATGATACTTGACATTAGAACTTTGAATTTTAAATCTATTTTCTGTAAGGAATGTGCTAAATAATTTATTCAAGTAATCTGCAAAGACATAAATGCCTTCATACAAGTATGGACCAAAACTTTGGGAAACACTGGAATCCAACAAAAAGCTCTACATTTTTATGCTGCATGGGTTCAAATGTTAATTGAACAGTTGATGTTCTCCAAACACTGTGAGCAGCTTTCAGATTTGAGACAAAAAAATGTGATGTGCAACTAGGGATAGATGAAACTGTCGATTTTGGTTGCTCCCAGGTCATCATTTTTCCAATCTCAAGTTCAGTTCTCCACATTTTAATTTTTTTTAAGCCTCATGGAAATTCATCAGCATTTTTCGTGTGCACTTCTACTGATATATACATTTGTACTCAATTCTGCCCAATACAGACATTTTTGGAAAGCAATGGTCCCCAGTATGATGAATTTATATATGTTATTTTCAGTAATAAGTGCAGTTTTGTGCATATTTTACCTTAACTGGAGAACTGCATTGCAAAATTCAAAGAAGTGCAAATTTCAAAGGATGGCTAGGTTATGGTTTGCGTCTTCTTTTGGAATGTATGGATTAGGTGGATTTAAATGCAAACTGAATCCAGTTTCTCCCCCATCCATATATAGAACTAGTAAATCAGTCAAATTCATAGGAAGTATGTAAGCTTCCATGGAACACTCATCGAGCTGAACCAAAATTGTAGCTTGAACCTATGATTTGGTTCAAGTATAGAAGACGCTACAGTTTAAGGAAACAGAAAGCAGATCCACTGAGATCATCCTTGATTTTTCACAAGTCAAATGTGTACACTCTTAGAATTCGTTGCTAACTGTAGCAGCTGCTTCCTGCAATTATCAAGTACATGTTCTTGAAGAAAGTACCAACATAATCACACCATACCGACCAAGAACAGATATTTTTGTGACATGCTCAGTAGATCTGTTCAAGTATGTTTAAGAGCGCTCTTATTTTAGTAAACACACACAAAAACTTGACACAATTTACACTTTTATTTCAAATACAAGGTCAAATTAACTGGCAGAAAGCTCAGGGCTTGTGATTTCTCAAGAAGTGTGTAAAAATGAAGCTGCATGTTTACAGAACTTTTAAGGATGCAATTTTAAATATGCATACAGAGAAGCAAGTACCATTGAAATTAGTTAGAGTTACTTCCAAGTAAACAAATGCCGTTTTAAAAAAGTAGCTCAGATCCATACTAAAGCCCCATTGTTTAAGACAGTGATGGCCAAACTTGGCCCTCCAGCTGCTTTGGGACTACAACTCCCATCATCCCTAGCTAACAGGACCAGTGGTCAGGGATAATGGGAACTGTAGTCCCAAAACAGCTGAAGGGCCAAGTTTGGCCATCACTGGTTTAAGAGTACTAAACTAATGTTCTGTCATACCACAAGCACCTACATACACCTAGCAAAAGCAGGAAGACAAACTAATCCATGGTAATTTACATAAATATTGTGGTGCTGAAAATATTCAGTCTTGCTTCATAGAAAACGCAAAACCATATCAGCTAAATAACTGCTCATAAACCAACCAACCTTGTCTTACAACATAATCCTATGCATGCTTATGCAGAAATGAGACACACTATGTTCAATGAGTCTTAAGTAAGGTGACTGGCAGAGAGATAAGGCCTTGGATAAAACTTGAATGTGATAAGATTTTGCTTTGCATAATAATGATGTTTTTAATGTATTTACCCAAAATTCCCCCTCACCACTAGTTCCTCGAAATATGCTTTGATGAGTTAGGGGACATTCTGCTATTCATTCATTCCACCAAACGGACAATACTGGATACCACCCAATATAAACACATAAAATAAAACATTAAGATTTATTGTCTGCAGCCATCCCCCACCAGCATGAATATACAGTGGTACCTCGCAAGACGAATGCCTCGCAAGACAAAAAACTCGCTAGACGAAAGGGTTTTTTGTTTTTTGAGCTGCTTCGCAAGACGATTTTCGCTATGGGCTTGCTTCGCAAGACGGAAACGTCTTGCAAGTTTGTTTCCTTTTTTCTTAACACCGTTAATACAGTTGCGACTTGACTTCGAGGAGCAACTCATAGAACGCGGTGTGGTAGCCTTTTTTGAGGTTTTTAAAGACTTTGGTGATTTTTGAAGCTTTTCCAAAACTTTCCCGACACCGTGCTTCGCAAGACGAAAAAAATCGCAAGACGACAAAACTCGCGGAACGAATTAATTTCGTCTTGCGAGGCACCACTGTAGATGTGCAAGTTTGCATACTAAGGAGCAGCCAGAAGTCAGCTTGTTTGTACTTTTGTCATCTGAACACCTGCTTCTCAATATACCTCTTACACACACACACACACACACACAGACGTTCATAATCACCTTAAGTCAAGGGTAATCAGAATTTACTATTTTTCATGATCAAATGGTTTTCCAGCAACTCTACACAGTAAGGATTTTTACTGCGGTGGATGTAATGATTTATACTCAAATGATAACATGAATATTTTTAGAATAGTCCTACACAATATGTTAAAACTCTGAGATCTAAATAATCAGACAGGCACCGAGCTATCAAATGAACATTTACTGCTCAGTGCCAAGATAGCTCGGTTCTCTAGAAATACTGTAAACTCAGCCCAACAAGGCCCCATTATCATTCCCTAAGCAGTGCAATATTCTATGGAACTTCAACCAAAACAGCAAAATAAGTAATTATACATTCTGCTCCTGATATAGATGGATGGCAAGTTGAACTGCATGTTAATTTTCCATCATTAGAAGCGATGTAAGAATTTGAAGTGAACCACCACCTGAAGGGTGCTGAATTCAACAGGCTTAACGCCACAGCCATTTTGACAACACCTATTAAAAAAAAGAAACAAAGAGTACCATTTCACATTCTTCTGTGTGCACATATCATAGTGCAAAAGTTATAACCTTTAAAGATTGTTAAAAATGCAGCACCTCATTTTTGGACACCTTAAGACATTGTTCCCTATTAAACTGAAACCCTGTGATATACGACTAGGTCTAATACACATTAGAAGTTAAAATAACTCTACAAAATTGGATTGCAGTAAAGGTATACCAAAAGACACTGATACATAATGTTTGCCTGCCTACCTACCAGCAATGTATCTGCCTTAATTTGTGTTTCTCTCTGTCCCCCAAAATTAAACTTTGATTGTCACGGGGGTGGGGTAATTCACCCACCACAGATGAGAAGCTATTTAGAAGCTGTCTGCAACCATTAATCAAATGCATCAATGTTGTGCATCTGCAGCATTAGAAGCAGGAAGGCTGTGATCCTAACCCCACCAACTGGGAGTAAGCTCTATTGAATTCAATAGAACTTACTTCAGAGTTAAGACAGCGAAGACTGCACTGTAAAGCACCAACATAAACAACTTAAGACAGTGGTGTGCAGTAAGATTTCCTCTCCTAAAACTGGAACTTCTCACTCTTTCCTCCCTCCTGTAACTTGCACTCTCCAAGTCTGCTCAACCCTGCTGCTGCAAGAGTGTGATACAGCCCAGTATTCTTGCTGTTCATAGTCTTCCAAGGGCCAGTCATGCAATTCACACCACCAACCTATGTCACATTTCATCATTCTGAACTGCAATCTGAGAAAAACGAAATGTTAACAGATCTATAGACACACATATATACAAAACAAGAATAAAGAGAGCATCAGCAACACTGCTCTTTATCTTTATTACATGATGAATAGAAGTGCATCCTCTGTGCAATGGTGAAAACAATCTAAAGGAAACATTTTAGACAGCCACATGATTGCGCAGCTTGTGGCCAACGGCTGAAGCGCAAGGTGCACCACCTGCAAAGCAAGTTCTGGCAACGGCACAAATTGCAACATTTTCCTAAAACCAGAGGGCGCCAGGAAGTTTTACCCCATCGGTTGTATAACCTCTTTCCCCATCACATTTTTGAAAATTTTGTCCCTAAAGCCCATTTGCATATACTATTCAAAACGGCATAAATTATACATGCTGGCTTATTTAATGACCCTTTCAACCGCCAAATGTGCAATGTAGTCTGTTCCTAATATTTGGAAAATTAGGCTGGCTGCAGCTATGCTAAACAGTATACACCACTGAGCAATGTGAAGTGTTTCCACAACACACAAACACACACAGGCTTTACAAGCATTGTGTGACAAAGCGAAGAAAACCCTGACACCAGCATGGCATGGCAGAGGTGGAAACAAGCAGCAATACCAGATGGCATGCCAAGTCCCCAGAAAGTGCCTAACTCTGGAACACCATGTTTGGCAGAACGACGTGTATTTCTTCTTCCAATTGCCACTTTTAATTTACAAGCAGCAACGTTGTTCAACAGCTGCTTCCACATACAGAATTTTAAGTAGCTAAATAAGATTTTCGACAGAGGTCTGATTTTGATGCAACGCTAGGCTGTGCTTATATGTCATGTGAAAAAGCCCCTGGTTCATGCACTACTACTTGCATGTCCACGAGCTTGGCCCAAAGGAAAAGACCAAAATCATTCACTTTACTTTTTAACCACAGTATAGCGCTACATCTGAACCAGACACACTGTAATTATTCTTAACCGTGGTTTATGTCAACTTCAAACCATGGTTTATGAAGCTGGCTTGTTTCAAATAAACTAGCATTAAAATAAGCCAAAGTTTAGGGTTCACACACAAAATTAAATAGTGGTTCATTGAAAGTGGAACCAAAATTTCCAATCTTCTCCTTGCAGATGTGCAAGAAAAGGGGAGAGTGAGAAACTCACAAGTCCAAGTACTGTGGTACCTCTGTTTGCGGACACCAACCGTTCTGGGGTGCCGTTCACACCCTGAAAAGTCCGCAACCAGAGTGGTGCTTCTGCACATGCGTGAACTGCAAGAGAGCACTTCTGCGCATGTGCAAACTGCACAGAATGCTTCTGCGCATGTGGTGAAACCCAGAAGTAAACACTTCCGTGTCTGCCGCGTTCTTAACCCAAAAAAATGCAACATGACGCGTTTGCAAGAAGAGGTATGACTGTAATGTAATTTGGTGTTATGTCTGACCAAGGCCATAGACTAGGCATAGGCAAACTAGGACCTCCAGATGTTTTGGGACTACAGCTCCCATCATCCCTAGCTAACAGGACCAGTGGTCAGGGATGATGGGAACTGTAGTCTCAAAACATCTGGAGGGCCGAACTTGCCTATGCCTGCCATAGATTATAAAGCAAATGTTTTATTGTGATATATGGATGACCGAAGGCAGGCTTTTGGTTTAACTTACCTGTTTGCCAATGAGTTGAAAGTCTGTCAGTTTGTTTGTAACACAATAATTACCGTATTTTTCGCCCTATAGGATGCACTTTTCCCCCTCCAAAAATGAAGGGGAAATGTGTGTGCGTCCTATGGGGCGAATGCAGCCTTTCGCTGAAGCCTGGAGAGTGAGGGGGGTCGGTGCGCACCGACCCCGCGCGCTCTCCAGGCTTCAGGAAGCTATCCGCTAGCCGTGGGAGACGCAGCTCTCCCATGGCTAGCGGAGAGCTTGCCTGCACCCAGAAGCTTGGGGCGCGCAGCGCTCCGCTAACCGTGGGAGAGCCGCGCGAAGTCGCACGGCTCTCCCATGGCTAGCAGATAGCAGCCTGTTCTGGGGGCTGGGGTCAGGGGAAGCTCGGGCTTCCCCCGCCCCAGCCCTGCACCTGGGGGGGGGAATAATTTTTTTTCTTTATTTCCCCCCCCCAAAACTAGGTGCGTCCTATCGGCCGGTGCGTCCTATGGGGCGAAAAATACGGTACTCCACTAGGAATTCAGAATAAAGTTCATGGCACAATCTGGTAACTCAAACATCAACTCAAGCCCTGCACTAGTTTTCAAACATACCGTTTACCTTGAAGACTCAGGTATCAGAATTAAAAAGTTGGCGTGAACACTCAGGGCAACATTCTGTTTTTCAAAAATGAACTCTGCCTCAACCTCCAGACCTGCTTTAAAAGAGAGAGAACTATTGCCCAGTACAGCCATAACAAACCACAATTCACTGTTGCATGTGGGACAACAATGGTTACTTTTCCCCAGTAAAGGACTATGAAACTAAATGAAAAGAGGATGTTAAAGCAGGTTCTAATTCAGAGCCAGTCAGAAACAGAAAATTATTCAGAATTCCTTGGCAGTATCTCTTTCTTTTCAGGAAAAGGTTGGCTAGGAATCCGGCAAAGATGCTTTATATATATGCATCACCAGCCACATATCAGGAAACTAGACAGCTTCAATCTAGCTTCAGGATCCCATTAGACTAATGATTTCAGATGATGCTAAGGGATGAAGAAAAAAATAGCCATAAAATCCAGGAAGACAGATTCAAAACTTAGGACGTGTCCTTCTTAGAGTGTATTGTATTACTTAACATAGTACAATGGTGTATTGTATGGAAGAATGCCACATAAGACAGGGATGGTTGCAAATACAGTTTCCCTCATTTTGGGACTTTTGCAATAATGCATTGGGTCGAATGAAAACTGTCTGCCCAGTTCTGCTATCAGTTCTTTTATCAACTTGTATCCTGAAGGAAACACTTATTATTTTAGGTGTTCTGTGTCCTAACAGATATTCTATTAGAATATCAGGTTAATTAACTTTCAAAATGTGTGCACAAATGACATGAAGATCAAAATACGTGTTATTGGCTTTAGGATCAGCCATTGCTGACATCTGTAAACAGCTACTTTAGATACTGACATAAACTAATACTTGTTGCAGCACCTTAACAAAAAAATTCAGCTGAGCAAAGAGGCTTCTGAAGTGTAAGATGTTACAAAATGATTCCCTACTTATTTCTGCCTATTTATTAACAGAACCAAGTAACAAAGTTGGTTTTTTGGCTGGTTAGTCTTTTAAACCTCCATGACTTCACAACCTCTGTAACAAGGGGTGCAACAAGGGATGCTCAGTATCTATGAGATACTATTATTTGCTGGCTGGTTTGCTGCAAAGGTCAGGAGCAGGTTTCTCCTCCTATCTAGCTTCAGAAAAACTCTCAGCCTCTCGAACTTTCCAACAATGTTTGCATCCTTGTCCATAATGACATATGTTCTAAATACTGAGAAGCAGCAAACATTCCCCAATAGTCGTCTAGGAGCCTGGAAATTAAAACTACAAAGTCGAATGGGGTGTGGAGTACAGTGTACTAACTACCAAGTTCTCAAGTGAAGATTCGTTTTAGGCTAAAAGCTACACCGAAACAGAGCTTGATACAAACCTATTTATTCTGAAGCACTCACTGAAATGGTAGGGATCATTACTTCACATCTTTATCACGCTACAAGCTACTACAACTTCCTCCCAAGGCAGCTTCACAGTGCACAGGCAAAGAAGCCATGTAATGAAGATTGCTTGGCCATTATCTCTCTCATGCTCACAATCAGGAAGAAAAAAGTCTTCCCTTTCTACATGAAAGCTCCTAACCCACTTAAACAGAGCAGTCCGTGATATCTTCCCCAGATAGATCAAGCACTGAATATAGGACTCTGATCTGGAGTATATAGTCAGTGAGTGCATCCAGCGAAGTCAACGAGGGCTGCCTGCTCCACGTTTACGTAAGCCTTAGGCTTTCATTCCACGCGTTAATATTGGCTTCCTTTCACACGTGACACCCCAAACGCACCTGATGTGCATTTGCAGGTCCTGCAACATGAAAACCTGCAAGCCAAAAACACCTACACTGATATGTTCCTTTTTCAAATAAATAAATACCCCACTCTTCTTCTAGGATTCCTCTGCCCACTTCCAGAGGCTCGACCCAAACAGCTGGAGGAAAAGAGAGCCTCGACTGGCAGCCCTTTCAGGAGTGTGGCAGCGGCGTGAGACCGGCAGCGTCTTCCCAGCAGCTCAGCTGAAGGAGCTCGGGGAGGGAGAGCGCGAAGCCCCTCGAGGGGACGCTGCGGGTCTCACGCTTCCCGGGACCCGCCAGAGGAGAGGGACGGGGCTCGCCACCCACACGCGGCGGCGCCAGGCCCACCGCGGCCGGAGGAGCTGGAGCGGCTTCGCCCTCGCCTCCTACTCACCCGAGTGCTGGTCCCGAGGCCACAGGTAGTAGGTGGCGGGGATGACGATGAGGGCCACGAAGCTGGTGAGGAAGTAGAAGAAGGTGTTGCCGCTGTCATCGTACTGGAACTGCTGCCCCGCCATGGCCGCTCACACGCCCCGCCCCCCTCGGCTCTCCTCTCCCGGCGCTCGCCGCTCGCCTCCAGCCAGCGCCAGGCGAAGCAGCGGCCGCTCCGGGGATCCCGCGAGAACAGGAGCAGCGCCCTCCTGCCTGCCTGCCTGCCCCACCCACTGGCCTCTGGAGCGCGTCCGCCCGCTTCGCCCCCCCGCCCCCCACCACCTCTTCCTCTCGCTCTCCCACTTCGGCCCCCAGCAGCGCCAGCGCTAGCAGAGGAGGGAGACGTGTCGCTGCGCAGGCGCCATCGCCACCATTGTGACGTCGGGCACGCGCTTCCGGTTCCTGGTCCCCGGTCGCCCCGGATTGGCTGAGCGGGGAGTCCTTCCCCCCCCCCAGCGGGTTGCGGGGCGGAGGAGAGAGGAAGCCTGAACTACCAGAAGCATTCGGGTGGAGGGGGTGGCACTCGAAGGAAGGAGAGGGTGTGCGAACGTTTTTCTTTTGTTTTTCAGTCTTTTTCCCCTCTTTGCTACGACTTATTTGCAACGGATGTGTGCTCTTGGTTTGTGTGTTTTGTTGTTCCTGCGGCTTGTAAACCGCCTTGGGGGCAATATAGGAAGGCGGCATACAAATTAAAAATGAAATGGGGCGGGTGGGAATGCAATGAGGGTCTGTTTCAAGTCTGCGCTGGCAGCTGGCGAACTTTGCCTCCTTCTATCGCTCTTTGACTCCAGAGAACTCTTATTAGGAACTTTTTAAAAAATGGAGGAGACGTTTCTGATCATACTTATCCGTTCAGAAAGCCTATAAAAAATGCAACAGTGTATTTTGAATTATTTTAGTGGACCAGATGATAACAGCTGTATCTCCTGGTTTTTCCCCAATCTAGCCCCTTTTACTATTTGTGTGGGTTTGTCACAATAGCTTCTAAACACCCCTTTCCCCCCAGTAATGGCTATTCTATTCTACTGCTTGCAGCCTTCATCAGTGGGCAAACTTTGATAGAAGGTATCTGCCCCTAATTAGTACTCCCCACCTTCCATTACATTTTTGAGCAAGCACACATGTATTTTTGAACCTGTACAAAAGGAAAAAAGGGACATGGGTGATGCTGTGGGTTAAACCACAGAGCCTAGGACTTGCCAATCAGAAGGTCGGCGGTTTGAATCCCCGTGACGGGGTGAGCTCCTGTTGCTCGGTCCGTGCTCCTGCCAACCTAGCAGTTCGAAAGCATGTCAAAGTGCAAGTAGATAAATAGGTACCGCTCCGGTGGGAAGGTAAATGGTGTTTCCATGTGCTGCTCTGGTTTGCTAGAAGCGGCTTAGTCATGCTGGCCACATAATCCGGAAGCTGTACACTGGCTCCCTCGGCCAATAAAGCCAGATGAGCGCCGCAACCCCAGAGTCGGTCACGACTGAACCTAATGGTCAGGGGTCCCTTTACCTTTACCTTTACAAAAGCAAAAAAAGTGTGCACCTACAGTACATCAAGATTTGCTTGGGACCCCGCTGCAGCACTTCTGAAACAAGAAAACCTCAGTCCAGTGTGCTTCCAATTCTGCTCAGCAGCCAAATCTTATTTCAGTAGGGAAAGTACAATTCAATATAAGGGGGGGAAATTGAAAACATCCGTAACTTTCACAGGTCTAGATGAAATTTGCAGGCATATTAGCCTTTCTGTAGTAGATAACATACATCAAATTTCTCTCAATGGCCAACCAGATGCCCGTGGGAAACCTGCAAGCAGGACCTGGGTACAAAAGCGTTTTCCCTATTTGTGATTTCCAGTATTCAGAGGCATACTGCTGCTCTCCATGGAAGGAGAGCATAGCAATGGAGGCTAGTAGCCATTGGTAGCCTTATATACTCCATGAATTTGTCCAATCCTCTTTTGAAGCCATCCAAGCTGGGGGCCATCACTGCCTGCTGTGGGAGCAAGTTCCATCCTGGCCACTGTGAGAACAGGATGCTGGACTAAATGGGACACTGGCCTGTTCAGCAGACTCTTCTTATGTTCTTTCAAACCCAAGGTTTCATTTCTAATCGGTAACCACCAATTTAGACCCTAATAGCATATATGTAATATTAGCTTTGTGATTGTACAGTGGTACCTCGGGTTAAGTACTTAATTCGTTCTGGAGGTCCATTCTTAACCTGAAACCGTTCTTAACCTGAAGCACCACTTTAACTAATGGGGCCTCCTGCTGCTGCCGCGCCGCCGGAGCCTGATTTCTGTTCTTATCCTGAAGCAAAGTTCTTAACCTGAAGCACTATTTCTGGGTTAGCGGAGTCTGTAACCTGAAGCGTATGTAACCTGAAGCGTATGTAACCTGAGGTACCACTGTATATATTTTTAAGTATGGCTCCATTGAGAGTGGGAGGGAGATGATTTAGTACTGATCCTTAAAAGGAACTGAGGTGATACTAGTGTTTCTTCATCTGTTTGTTGGGGAGTTCACACTGCTTCCAAGTTGCAATGAAGCAAGCTTCCTTGGCTGTTTGACCTCTTTGACAACAGATGGAAACAGAATATAGAGCTGGATTTTTTTAAAGCATTTATTTGTCCTTGTATACTTTAATATAGCTACAACAGCATTTACAGTGTTAAAAGTGTGGGAGGAAAATAATGAGATCTGTAACCCACGTGCAGGTAATTAACAAAAGAATATAAAGTATCATCCACTGCTCCCCCTCCCCCGGAAACCTGCTGTTTACCACTTAATTGGAACAACATTAAACAGTTTTTCTGCAGATTGACATTTGTTCTGATTCAGCGGTAAACAGTAGGTTTTCCCAGGGGAAATGGTGGGACAAACAAAAAACTTGGACTTGTGCCTAGAAAGCATGGGACAAGCGCAAGTGTGGACAAGCCCTAACAGCAAAAGAGGGGTAGCACAAAGAATCAACAAAAAACAGAAGGCTGATATCAAAACCAGAACTCCAAATAGTACTCATCTATTGTCTGTATACTGCCCAACACACTTCAATAACAACCTTCATTAAGGACAAATTCCATATTGTGCAGTGCAATCCCATGCATTTTTACTGTGTGGAGTGACCAAGTATGTTAGGCATTGCAGCTTTTTCTGGTATCTCAGCGGAACAGACTACAGATTAAGACGTGTGAAACACCTGTAGTAAGTCAGCTACAGTCCTCGACATTATAATGTGCTGCAAGCATAAGGAATGTTACTGAACCACATGGGGCAATTTGAGTGTTACAATAGTGAGTGCATTTGACTATCAAATAAAGCTCACTCCAGTCTTATGGCTACTTATTGTGTTCATGGGAAAGGTGAAATTTGAACCTGGTACTTTTCTTATTCTTGTCTCTTAGCTACTATGTACAATCACTCCTATGAAATCCTGCAGCCCCAGCCGGCATGGTCAGGAATGGCAGGAGTTGTAGTGCAGCAACTTATGGAGGACCCCTGGTTCCCCAGCCATGGTCTGTATTCAAAAAATTAAATATCAAACCAACTGGGGGTGTTTCTATAGCTAGCATTGTTTAATATTTCTGAACTGGAATTTAACAATGCGGTGAATTTGGCCAGGGATCTGCAGAAAAGTAAATTGCATCTTGTTGGACATTTGAGAGGCCTAGCTGGTGACATTTGCTTACAGGCATTAGAAAGCAAAGCTGCCAACAGAACAATGAAAGGTGAGCAAGCAAAGTGTTTTGATAAACAGATGAGATTCACCACCAAATGTAGCACAAAAGGATTATCTAACCACAAAGACATTTACAAAGGATCATATAAAATGAGTATCTGTATTTGCCAACCTCCCATTGTGCAGAAGTCAAAAGGAAAAGATGGAAAACGGGAGGCCAGATTGTCAGGACTACCAAATCCAGGTCAAACCTGTATAGTTTACAGCAAAACCTGGAGCTAGAAGAACAGGTAGGAACAGGAAGCATAGACTGAAACTAGCAAAGCTCAAGCCAGGCTGCATAGCAATTGTTTTACACAGATAATTTTATTCCTCCTTTTAAGGATGTTGTGTAAACAGGAATATTCATTCAAGCATAGTGCTATACCATAGCATAACATCACAACAATGAACCTAGACACCCTCCAGGTTCCTGTGTTTCTCCACCTCCCACTCTTTATCTCCTGTGGCCACAAGGAGGAGTCCATAAATACTCACTTCCATTTCCAATTAACCGCAAAATGCCATGTCATCCAGAGCTGGTCAAACTGGCTAATTTAACCATTGTTAGTGGAAACAAGCCAGTTTCTAACAATAGATTATGAAGTTGGTTGGTTTTCACTAACCATAGTGAATATTAACTCCAATTTAGGGATCAGATGACTTGCTAAACTGCTGTCAATTTAAAATTCCCTCCGTTACAGCCATATTGGGGGAGGAAGAGGAGAGTGCTCATTTTTGCAATGATAAAGGTGAGTCTTCTGTCTGGTTTAGTCTTCTGTCCAAACAATGTCCTTGAAAGGGAACTTCTGTGAACAATCAGAATAGGTTTTCAGAACCAAAGCTGGAGCAGGAGGTCTTCCATGGACAAAAGGTACGTGATTGTAGTCCTGATTTCAGAATGCATCACTGTCACCTTGCTAAAGTAATATATGGTGAGGTAAAAAGGCATGCTGCCTCCCAGGGCCTTCAACTCTTAGCTTTCTTTAAAATAGAATAAAAAGTTCAATCAGAAAATTGTGAAGAAAGTAAAGAGCACAAAATGTGGAAGCAGCTCAAAGACTTCAATACTTGGCAGCCTGCAACATTGCTAAGGATGTTTATTCACTGTTTCTAAGCAATCAGAAATGTTGACCACTCAGGAGAAGGCCCTCCCAGAACAGCAGAAAGAGGACAAGCTAGATGGAAGAGGATACTGGGGTGAGTTTGTTTAAGCATTTTGCCCCTATATGCATTATTTCATTCACTCAACAAGTGTGCTGCCTTTACAAAATGAAACACAGTTGGCTGGCTTTAGTATGTTTTATTGAAAAGTAATTCCTTGAAATAAATGAGACTTCATCCCTGCTTAGAAAAAACGATGCTATTGCACACCTGCACACTCAGGTTTTCCATGTCTCCCACCCAACCACTACTAGGCTGTTCACCATCACTGGGCTGTTATTTTAATACTGTGTAGTTGCCATAAACAAAAGTATAAAATCCAAAATCCAAATGCCTTATAGCTGCAGCAAATTAGAATTCCAATAGACTAGAACACAGATAGCTTTTTTTGTTTATTAAGGTTAGCAAAACATATTGTGTGCATGCTTTGCTGAGACTTGTGACATTGTACATAAATGTTATTTTTTGTTGTATATTTGTATCTTGATATTTCTCCCATGAGCTCAAGGCTGTGTGCATTGTCCTCCTCTTCCCACTTTTATCTTGACAGCAGCCATGTGAAAATCCAGACACCAAAGTGGGTAGGGAGCCTTAAGAGCCTAATTCACAAAACTCTTTGAATCTGCACCTGTGCCTGCTGAGGAGGCTTGCTAACAAAATAGGGGAAGGGACTCCCTGCTATTGCTTGCTGGAAAGGGATAAGGTTTGGAAGAGGTGCTCCTCCATCACCTCTGTTGGTAGGGAAGCCTATACCTCTACAGAGGTCCCTGCTGCACCCACAAGAACGTTTAGGGCCCCAAATGGGATGTTCTGCTAAAAATCCGAGAGAAATCACACCAACCACAATGTTGTGCCCTTCTCAGCACAAACAAAAAGGGCTTGAGATGTAGCAGTAGATTCTGGATCTTCACCGACTTGGGATTCTTCTCTTAGTCTTCTTCTAATAAAAACCAGAGAGTGAGTGTGAAAAGGATAGACAGGTGGCATGAATAATAGTCCAGGGAGAAAATGTGGGTTATCTATGAAAAGACATTCCGTATCATTTAATTTGCTCCACTGAAATTGACAATTGATTTGCCTGACCTTTTTCCCCCAATTTCTCCAAAGTACAGAGAGAGTGAGAGAGAGGAGGAAATTGGCATCAATGAAACTGACAAGACTTTCCCTTGACCTTGTCACCTTCCCAGCAGGAGGGGATGACGGAAATGGCAGTGGGGCATGCAGTGCAGAAGAAAAGCGAGCGAGGCATTGTTCAAGCTGTCTCCAACCACAGCATGATGGAATTGCATCCATGGCCGCTGAGGCAGTATCCGAGGTGGGTAAGTCATGAATGCTTTCTCCCACATAGCTAGAGGGGTGGTTGTAGCAGTGAACGCAAGAAGAACTCATGAGCTGCAATTACCTGAAGTGGAGGGAGAACATTTGAGCGCTCATTGAAGTGAATGAAAATCTGTGTGTAACTTCTACCTAAGTCGGCTGCTTTGGTTTCAGGGCCCTCACTAAACAACAGCTCCAAAGCTGCTAGAAGTTGTGCAGAGTTCTCCGGAATTGCATGTGATCAGCAGATGGCACTCTAACTACACTAAACCTAAAGCTTCCTTTGTCGTAGCTGTTGTCAGCTAGGTCAAATTGCATGTTGCCTAAGTATGGTGCATCTAGGTTGTACAGGGAAGAATATTATCCTTTCCAATAGATTTAGGAGAAGAGCAAACGGTTCCACCTAGACAGGTTTGGATGACACACGCTTCATAATAATAATAATAATAATAATAATAATAATAATAAATATTATTTATACCCCACCCAACCCATCTGGCTGGGTTTACCCAGCCACTCTGGGCGGCTTCCAACAAAATTTTAAAATAGAATAGTATAGAAAGAAAAGACAGAGTAGCTCTTTGTGAGCCCTCTAGAAACACCTGTAACTAGGTGAAGCAGAGTCAATCGAAACATCACTCTTTTTGGCATAGGTGAGCAGTGGTTTTTCCATCCCTGATAAATCAGCTTTCATTCATATACCCTTAAACTGCTTTTTTTCTAAAAAAAATTCTTTAGGGGTACTCTTATTTTGACTCAAGAAAATCACCATTTTATAGTTCAAATCGGGAAAAATACAGTAAATGGACAAAAGTACAAAGATTCACAAAATGTTTAGGAGTATCCATACCTTTACCTTACCTTATCCCATTTCCAAAATCCAGTAACAAGCAGATCTGTTTAACTTTGCCATATGTACATGATCTCATATGAGGGCCAATCTATGCAGTAAGGAAGCTTTCCTAGGACTTTACCCCTTCAGGCTGCTGAGTGTTGGTGGGTGCATTTTAATGCTACTAGCATTAGCAAATATAAAACGGACCTATCTTGGAGAAAACAAGAATGAACCCTTGACATGCTACATGTCTATGGAGAGCAGGAGTGGAGAACATTCACTGGCCGATGGCTCAAACCCTTATCCCCCACACCCCAGTAGACCAAATTTGACAAGTGGGTGGGAAAGCACAGCACAGTGCTCTTTGATAACCCTTTTGCAAACAGCTCCACACACCTGAACCTCCATGCCTGTTCCCAAGCAGGGGAACTGGGGCATATAGCCAAAGTGAGCTGGATTTGACCAGCACTCAGCTGGTGAGTAGGGGTTAAATTCTGCTGCTTTGGCTGCACATACCACATGCTACTCTCAACTGCTAATGGTGAGTCACACCACCCTCAAGAAACTATGGAAGAATTTATCTTCCCCTGTGAGAAAGTTAGTGAAATTCTGCCTGCCCCCCAATTTGTCTTCCCACAAATAGGGTATAGTTTTTAGAGGCCACTTAACTACCACAGAGCCTAGGACTTGCCGATCAGAAGGTCGGCAGTTCGAATGCCCGCGACGGGGTGAGCTCCCGTTGCTCGGTCCCTGCTCCTGCCAACCTAGCAGTTCGAAAGCACATCAAAGTGAAAGTAGATAAATAGGTACCACTCCGGCGGGAAGGTAAACGGCGTTTCCGTGCGCTTCTCTGGTTCGCCAGAAGCGGTTTAGTCATGCTGGCCACATGACCCGGAAGCTGTACGCCGGCTCCCTCGGCCAATAAAGCCAGATGAGTGCCGCAACCCCAGAGTCGGTCATGACTGGACCTAATGGTCAGGGGTCCCTTTACCTTTTCCTTTAACTACAGCTTTCTAAGATTCAGTTGTTTTGAGTTGGTCAGTTTGTTGGCCTGGCCACTTTCATTGGCTTCAGCAACTTCCACGGTGAAATGGGAAGATAAGGTCTTCTTCTTCTTCTTTCTTCTTCTTTGGCGATCACTCGTAGCCAAGTAAGATTGTCTTCCATAAACACGGTTTTAACAATGTGCGGCTTTCTCCTGATTGAAGTGCAGAGTGTTTGGATATTCACAGGGAAACCAAAATGCTTGTTTACAAAGCTATTGTACTACCAACCTTACTATATGCTTGTGAAACATGGACCACTTATAAATGCCATCTCCAACTCCTCAAAGATAAGGTATATCAGTTTGTATCCAAAGAAGTTGCCCCATACTCATGCAAGGATTGCCACTTACGCAGCAGAATGTCCACTTCTTTGCCTGCACACACACATCCCAAATTTGTCCTTGAAATTACTCCAACCATCTGGAGCAGATTCGGAGGAGGTAGAGTTCAGGAAGAGGAAGAGCAAGAGTCCTTGCGCAAATGGAAGAGCTTTGTCAGATAACAACACATTGGTTTTCTTAAGTAAGCTCATCTTCCCCTGGTATTGGTTCAGCAAGCCTGGAGCTTTCTGGATACTTCCAGGAACTTACCATGCATTTCTGCTTCATGTTGTTCCACCATCCAAGAGATGCCTCTCTCTACCTTTGTGAGACTTATTCAAGAAGAGGGAGGGGGAAGGTTGTGCCCTTTGAGAAGTGTGGGATTTACTGCTGCGTTTCAAAGGAATTAGAACAGAGCAGCAATATTGTAAACAAGCACAATGAAAGCTGGAGAGGTCACTGCTGCATCTTTGGAAATTAACGAGGGTTGTGATTAATTCTAGCAACTGGGGCCCTAGGAATTATGAGGACAGGCACAACAAAGATGCAGTAAGTAGATTATCTGAAAAGCCTTTTTTTCTCAGTTCCCCTTGTTTATTTAAATTAGAAATTTTAAGCTAGCATCTTAAACGTGGCCTAGCCTTTTATTATTATTTGGGGGCAGGGGAGGGTAAAGAAGTATATTTCAAAATGGAGTGATGCTGCAAGTCAAACAATGGGCATTCAGAAGACTTTAACAGTATGGATTTTGAAATTTGACCTTTTACATTGGGGAGGACAGAAGGGAATGGTTCACTAGCGTATCCCAATTGGTCAGATGTTTCCCAAGCTGATTCCAAGCTAGCAGCACAAATTATCTTGGCTCAGATTTGCCTTTCCCTCTTGATTTAACATTTTTTTTAAAAAAGGTTCTTCTTTCTCATTCCGATCATTTGGAATCACTATTGTGATTTTAAATATTGTAATGGCATACCATTTGCATATTTGATTCTCAGGTTTTATAAATAAATAAATATCAAAGTTTACTTTCCCCTGTGAGATTTGTCATTTAATGTGGCTAATAATTCAGTCTTGAATCAAGGTAGACAAAAGACAACCAATTCCATTTTTAATTAGGGATCCAGAGTTGGGATATAAAGTCACATGATTTACCAGTACCTTTGTGTATGTTGTTATTAGTCTTACTGCTATTTATATTGTTCGGTAGGATTTTCCACATGTGCGAAGAATCAATAGCCTTTTCTACATCTTACTACTGCTCATTCTTCTGGGCTAGATGCCAATATTGCTTTCGCTAGCTAGGGAGGTAATTTTGGTAGGTGGGTGGCGGTTGAGGGCTGGTTACAGGAACAGCAGTTATGAAGTGGTAGAAGGGATTGTGACTCCTGCCTCGCACAACCTCTTTTTTTCATTCTTCTCTGCATATAACCATTACCAGTAATTGGAGGGTGGGGGGCAACTAAAAATAAAACTCCTGCTGCAAAAGAGTGAACTTTGTGTGGGAAAGAGCAAGTGCTTTTTTGCAAAGCAGAAAAAAAATTAAAATTCATACAGGAGGAAAAGAGCAAGCAAACTGATTCTCACAGACCTGGTCTTCTGTTCTCACATCACAACTATCCTTCTGCTACACAACATGCCACCACCCTCCCCCACTGGCTGTTCAAGATGGCTGAGTCATCCCAAGATATTCGTGCTGCACCTGGGATGGGTAAAAAGTAGATGGGGTCTGTTTGGTACACTGCCGTGTAATTTACAGTAGCTCAGCCAGGGTTTCGGAGTCCCAATAGCAGCAGGAAAAAGCCTTCATCCCACACACACACACCCCACACAAAAATGGGAACACTAATTCAGATATGGATTCCTTTAAACTTGTATCGCAAAGCCTGTGTATGGTTCGTGAAGTATGGTCCATGCTTTTTTCTGGGGGTACTCAGGGGTATGCAGTACCAGCACCTTTTTTTCCTAGAAGAAAAGCACTGAGTATGATAGATACATCCAGTGCTTTTTTTTCTGGGGCGACGCAGGGGGACGCATACCCCTAAACATTTTGTGAATTTTTGTACTTTTGTCCATTTACTGTATTTATTTTTCCTGATTTGAACTATAAAATGGTGGTTTTCTTGAGTCAAAATGAGAGTACCCCTAAACATTTTTTTATAAAAAATAACACTGGATACATCAGTTCCACTCCCTGAGCCACCCACTTGCTGGCTTTATCAAACACTGAACCAGTAATTTGCACCTGGCTCTGGTTGGTGGACCTCAGGTTTGTAGTAATGACAACACCCCAAACAGATCCTGCAAGATCGCAGTGGAACCAGCTTCCCTCAGCTTAATGGGGGATGATGGGGTGGTGGGCAGGGGTGGGGAAACCAAAAAGCTCATGGCATGTCAGGTGAAGGCATCCCCATCCAGTCTCACACCCCAAAAGTGACTATTTTGCGAGGTCTGCAGTAGAACTACTGGTTTATGTCTAAGATACCCTACCAATCAGAGTGGAGTTCGACTTCCCCAAACCCCTACATTAGCAGTGCTGCTGCCCTGATAGCCAGCCCCACCCACCAGCCCTTCTTGGGCATCAGCATTTCCCAACTCAACTGCCCAGTATCTAAGCCCTGACCCTGCGTGCATCCAAAATCCTCTCATTTCCCAAATCAGCTTGGCTATTCATCTCCTTCCAACTACACTAATCATACCCTGCCATCCACGTTTCCTTCTCTACTGGTCATACTACCCACCGTCCCATCCCCTTCCTGCAAACACGGCCACAGTGGAAGGTCCAAATTCTGCTCTGCTTCGCCCCAACAGACTTCAATCCGCCCTCCTAAACTTTCTGTACTCCTCCGTGGCATTTCCACAGCTGCTTTATAGGGAGAGGCTGAGGTATGTGGCACCAACCATTGCTCTGTAACCCTTTTTGCTTGGCTAACTGCCCTCACTTCCTAGTCCTGAAAATGGTGTAAATACTTCTGTGGGTTGAAGCAGGAAATCCACATGCTGCATCGCAGACCCTCCAAGTGACCCTGTTTTCCAGGGACGTCCCTGATTTAGAGAAGCCGTCCCGGTTTCTGATTTGATCCCGGAATGCCCTGCTTTTCCTTAGGATGTCCTTATATTCACTGGATAAATGTTGGAGAGTATGGAGATATCCGACCCCTGAGCCATCTGAAGGCAATCCTGTAAAGGGAAGTTTTTTAATGTTTAATGTTTTATATGTGGCTGCCTAGAGTGACTGGGGCAACCTAGTAAGATGTGTGGGGTATAAATAGTAAAATTATCATTATGGCAAAGGATGTCCCTATTTTCATCGGAGAAATGTTTGGAGGGTATGGCATTGGGGACTCCAAGGAGCCTGATACAGTACGTCTCCTGGGCCTTCCATTTAACAGCCCTGAAGCCTATTAACTCTTAAATATTAAGAGAAGCCAGCCAGCAGATGGCAGCAGGACACATTACATTGGTAGCTTCAGAACACAACCTTTGCAGTAGGGGACACCATACTAAGGGCCACTTCACAAATTAATTTCTCTCTTGCATAATGATGTTGTTATATCTTGTTCTGTATTTTTAAAGGAGGGCAGCTTTTGCAAAATGTGCTGAATCTGAAGAAATAAAAACAGCAACTTGAAAGCACAGCTCAGCACCATTCCCAGTGTTTGGGAGTGGGGCAGGAAACATCTAAGCGCAGGACTTACTCCTTCATTCATTTAGGCTGAGAGAGACAGCGATTTGCCCAGGAACAGCCAATGAGTTTCTTGGCTGATAGGGGATCTGAACCCTGGCTTCCAGGCCCTTGTCCAACACTCCACCCACTGCAATAAACTGCTTGCACCTCCCACCATCCCTGATCATTGGGCATGCAGGCTGGGGCTGATGGTGGAGTCCAATAACTTCTGGAGGTCCACCCTTAATCTAAAAGGCAAATGGAAGTAGGAGGCATGTGAAGTAGAAGTTTGTAAGATACAGAGACCTCACACCAGTTGCTGATACTTCCAAAATGATGAAAAATAGTGGGACCTGCAAGGCAGCTTGTTTTTTAAATGTTATATATGGTGCCTAGTAATATTAGAAATAAAGGAATGAGGAAAAGAGCCAGCAAGAAGAAAAGATACAGCAGTGTTGCTTGTATAGAGTATGAAAAAACCTGAAACTCAGAATGAACAGAACCACATAAAAATGGGGATTGTTATTTTTTTAAAAAAAGAAACTTTCTAGCACAGAGAAAATCAGTGCTATTTTAGAAAGTACTCTAAAACCTGAAAAAGATACAATGCATGTACTTTTGTAAATCTAGAAAATCTTTAATAAAAGTTGGGGGGGGTTGGTGTGTTTTTTTAAAGAGGAACTCACCATGAAAGCCTCCCTGGTTCTCTTACAGTGGCAATGGCACCCACCTGAAAGGTGCTGGAACAAGAGTTTCGGTGAGTTCCAGGTGAAAAAAGCCCTGGAGATATTGTTCTGCCTGCTGCTGAAGTTTCCCAACCCGGGGGCCAGGATACTCCAAGGGGGCCACAGGTGAAAATCGCATAAATGGGGGGCCACAGAGGGAAGTGAGAAGTGAAGAAAGCAGAGAAGTGACCGAGAAAATAAAACAGAAAATGGAGAAGAATGAACAGAGGAGTGACCGTGATTCCCAGGGGATGGATCGCCACATATTCTCTGCAGCAACTTCACTTCCGCTTCTTTCTGCATTCCACCACTGCGTGCACCAAGCTGTCCGCATCTCATTTGTCACGGGCAAGGTGTGTGGCTGCAGCAGTGTTGGTGTGTGGGGTGCTGTTTCTTCGTGCAAGTATTTCTGCTAAAGGAGGTGTGTTGCTGCTTGCAAGAGTTACTCACCCTAACACAGAATTGCCTTAAGATAATGGACAGAGGTGATATTCAGTGATCCCTCACAGCAATAGAACCGGATATAAAAAAACTTGTTTCTGGTCATCAAGCATGAGGGTCACATTGATCGAGAAATACTTAAAGTTTAATTGTTTATGTAACTGTATTTTGTATAAATTATTAAAATTATCTACAAACAAAACATTTAAATAGCTACCATTTTACCGGTAGGACAGGGGGCCACAGGGAGGAAACAAAGTCGGAAGGGGGCTACGGTTGGAAAAGGATTAAGAAACACTGATCTAGGTCATGGAAGCATATAGAACAAAATATGTCAAATGCTGAGAAGTTGATGCACTTCAGGTGTGTCACCTCACTAGTAGGAAGTTCCCTGAATACCTCTGGAAATGGACGGGGATGAATTTATTTAGTTAGGTATCCTTAGAAATTCACACTTCTCTGAATTCTGTGATGCAGTTCTCCAACCAGAAAAACTACATTCCAAAATGTCTGTTAGGAAAAAGTGCTCACAAACACAAAATATACATTTTTGAGAAAATAATATGCAAATATGCATTTTATTGGAGGAAATTGTTTGCAAAAATGTGTATATTTGAAGAAATATGCACTAAATGCATATTAATTTTCATGATTACGGTTTTTGAAAAATTCTTCTTCTTTGGCAATCACTCATAGCCGAGTAAGATTGTCTTCTATAAACACTGTTTTAACAATGAGTCCGTAAGTGACTGTGGAGGCCAATTCTGGATCCACACGTCCTTCCACAGTGGGGACATTGGTTTCCGGGCGGGAGTTGATCACAGTGTGGATTTGCCAAGCGTGCCTTCCTCTTAGCACATTTCTCCCTTGCGTCCTGAGTTTGAGTGTCTTCAAAGCCCGTGACACCTTTGGTAAAGGCTGTTCTCCAACTGGAGCGCTCGCAGGCCAGTGTTTCCCAGTTGTCAATCTTTATACTACATTTTTAAATTTTGCCTTGAGACAGTCTTTAAACCTCTTTTGTTGACCACCAGCATTACGCTTTCCATTGTAAAAAATGGGTCAAACTGAAGAAAACTGGGGAAACTGGGGGGAAATGAGAAGCTGAGAGAAAATAAATTGACACATTTACACCATCTCTAAATCTTGATAACTAGTTTATTTAAAGAGGGGAAAGTAATGCATTTGAAAAGGATCCAAATTTACAGAAACAGTATTATTGTTTTAAGCCATTCTTCAAGTTACAGGGAACCAGGCAGAGGGCCTTCTCGGTAGTGGCACCCGCCCTGTGGAGCGCCCTCCCACCAGATGTCAAAGAGAAGAACAACTATCAGACTTTTAGAAAACATCTGAAGGCAGCCCTGTTTAGGGAAGCTTTTAATGTTTAACAGACCACTGTATTTTAATAATTTGTTGGAATATTATTATTATTTTTCAGTGAGTGCTGTGTTGTTTTAAAACATGCACAAAGCAGAGGTGTGTACTGAGGTCTCCACAATATATATATTGCTTGTGGCTACCCTGAATAATTTAAATCATTCCAGCAGATTTATAATACTTGGAGTTTTTGTCAGATTTGATTTATCGAGGTGTAACTAACTACACGTCAAATTCCAAAGTAATCACTGAAGATGACGGATTTGCTAAGGAGGCGAAAAGCAGTCTCCCTCTTTTTTCCCCTCAAAAGATTAAATAACTGACACAGGATCCAAGACGTAAGACAGGCATATATTAAATAGTGAATTCTTGCAGCCAATTTCTAAAGACCCTGTTCAAAATACTGGTATCGGATAGAAATGTTGACAATACTCTTAATGTGAGCAACGTCAAGGGGACACTGCTATGATTTTAACAAAGCTGTCAGATTAGGTGACTGAGTGGTTACAGCATGATATTAATACAACTTCTTAACCGACAATTAGTTAACTGGCTGCTAAAAAGAAACCGGCTTATAGGATTTCCCTAATGAATATAATGCTTTGTTTCTGGGCAAAACATATGCTGTGGATGTATAATTAGAAAAAAAGAGTTCCCCATCAAGGGAACATGTGCAGCTGAATAAAAGAGCTTATTATTATACCTGTGAGGGGTCAAAGTCTATGGGGCTGTAGCTTATGGTATTACAGCAGATTACAAAATCATTCTATTATGTTAGTCAATCTGTTTCCAAGCATCAACTAGCAGGAAGCTGTGCACTAGAAACTAACAAATAAGGCTCCCTTTGACTCTTTTCCCTCTAAGGTCTTGTGATAGGTCAGCTGTTGGTGGCATCATCATCCCAGTCAGATCACATGTCAGAACCTTTCAGTGTGCAGCTGATGCCTTTGATATTGAGAACCATCTTCCCCAACAGTCCTCAAGTGCTACTTGTTGTAGAGCCATATTCTTAAAAAGCTGGAGCCAGTGTGAAACCCATAGACAGTTAATGAAAGGGGGGGGGGGGAGAGAAGCAGAGCGAACTTATGCTGCATCTGACCTCTATCATAAAGCAAATTGCTCAAGAGAAAAAGTGACAAAACGGCAGCTGCCACGATCACCTTCTGTGTTTTAGCACCTGAGGACCAATGTGCACAACTATATAATCTAAGTTTACATATCTTCTGTGGAAATTATTCCACATTTTATGAACTGGCAAATACATCCTCTGGCGAAAAGTGTGGGTCTCCTCATATAGTGCACAGATCTTCAAGATGCATTTTAAAAATTGCACACCCAGCTTCAGCACCTCTTACACAATTTCTTTCTTTAGGCATAATAATAATAATAATAATAATAATAATAATAATGTGTATTTGGGGTGTATTTTTTTTTCTGAGCCCTTGTAATTAAATACATGGATAAGTATTATCCATGCCACACTGTTTAGCAGCTCATTTCACTAGCCCCACAACAATCTCGTTTCCAGTCCATATATTGCATTATATGCATTCCAAATTCTGTTTGTTAGGTAGGAGCAAACTACAAGTTGCACTGCTGCTGTATGCCAGGAAGTCCTTTGAGAGTGCTGACTTGCACTGGGTTAAGTGAGGGAAGGGAATGAGGTTCCCCTTAACCCTTTTCCTGCCATTTCCTTCCCTCTTGAAACTTCCTACACCACCAGTATTCCAAATCTATGTCTTCCTCAAAAACATAGAAACATTGTGGTAGTACAAGCAGCTGGGCAAGAAGCAACAGACAAAGGAAAGGTTAAGCACTGATGCAAATCCTTCCGAGAGATGCTTTGCAAGGGAGAGTTACTGAGCTAGACTGTAATGTAGTTTACCTTCCAAGTTTTTTTCCCCAGCATGTCCATCTATTTTCATGTTAGTGCCCATATTTACAATGTTAGCAGAAGCCTCTCCTAGAATTTGAAAGGCAAATTCAGGTCTAGCTTATACTTCCTTGACATAAATGTAATAGCACCTGCTCATTATAAATGGGACAATTTGCTCCTGTGATGCATGTTCTTCACAGTTCATGACTTTTATGTCTTTCAGAGAAGGCACTGAAAAGAGCCATTGATATGGTTATTTAGTGGATGAGCTCCAAAGGTTCCCTTTACAGTTAATCCCTTCCATGTTTTCCATTGTATGGAATAAACACTTTTAAAAATAACCCTGCAGGTGTTCAAGCATAGCAGTCTGAAAAATAACTAATTGTTGTGTGTATACTTTGCTTCTCCCCGCTCCAACATGAGCCTCTTGCTTCATCCGTTTATATTCCCATCCTGAAATGTCACAATTAAAGTCAGAGCATGCTATTTACAAACAGAAAGAAGACTACCAGAAAGAAGGCTCAATGGGGTTCTGGTAAGCTTCCAAGGCCTGGTTGAGTCCCAGTGCAGTCCTGCGACAAGTGTTCAAAATTCTAAAGTTTGGCCTGACTTTCACATGAACTTTGAGGCAAGAGAGGGTGGCAAAACTCTTACTCATTTCAGGAGGTGGGGAACCAATAATGACTGGATTAATATTAAAGAGCTGAAGTTTTTAATTAAATTTGTATAAAGCTGACATTTGCTTTCCCAAAATTGCTCCAGAAGAACCACTATATTACAACATCATTTCAGCCTAACCATAATTAATTGGCATGATTTACCTATTTTATATGTTTTAATCCATTTAAAACATACCACTGATGAAATGGACAGCATAGTTTTTAAAAGTAACAACAAAAACTCCAAACGGCAAGCATCATTTTGAAAGAGGAGTCCCTGCCCCTTTCTCTCCTATAGGGTGGAATGCCTCATCTAAGATAATGCCAGTCAGGCCAACTATAGTATCTTTTTTTCTCCTCAATAATCTCATGAAATCCAGAAATCTATTCCAACAGTCTTCCCACAAGTGATTGCAGGATTATGTGCATCCAATTTCCAAGCAATGAGAGATTTCAGGGGTGCCAAATACTGAATACAGAAGGGTAACAGGGTGAGCCGTTTCAGCTGGAATACCTTAACCATCTATATGGCTGTGTGTTTATCAGGACCCTGTTCTGCTTCAAACAAGATAACAAATCTTCCTGGAAAAAACTGTGCATTAATAAACTGGCAATGGAAAGACTGGAGATGTCAAAGTTTTCTGCATGCTTAGAGATGAAGGCAATTACGCAGATATTATGCTAGGCAAAGAAAATTTATCTGCATAGGTCAACCTGTGCACAGCTTTGAAAGTGATGCTGCAATAGAAACACTGGGAGGGAATGTGCGTATTGCCAGCATTAACAAGCATGGCTAAACTGTTCAGCAAAGAAACATGTTTAATCTTTGCTTAAACACAACTCTGTGAATGCTGGCGAGGTCAGGGTCAGTTTGGGTTACCTATTGTATAAGCGTTGGCTGCAAATAGTTTAAGCAGGGCACAACTTTTTTTCTACATATTCTTTCATGCTCAGCTCATTCCAGAATCATTCTCCCCACGTTCATTTACTGCCAGCTCTGCTCAAATGTCTCACCTAGCGCTTAATTTCTAAGAGGAGAGATGCCAGGGCTCAGATTCACCTACAAAGTCCCACCCTAGAACTGGAATAGCATCTTCAGTGTGGGGAGATTCAAATTTTCCTTTCCCTAATACAAGAGTTTTCCTCGGGGGGGGGGGAAATTCCGCCATACTTAAGATGGTAGAAAGGGGTATTCTTGTAACATCACAAAATAGGCACCAAAAA